AATGTAAAACAAGGTCTAAATGAGAAAGGTTGTGGTCACAATAGACAAGCTGCTGGAAGGCTTCAGCAAGCTCATATCAAGTTTCAAGTAGTCCTGAAGCTTGGTGAAGCCCGCTAACACCTTGGTAGCCAGCTTTTCTATTAGGATATGTGTTCAACGCCTCCAACTGGGGCTAAAGCATTTAACAATAATGCCTGAAGTAGGTCGAAAGCTTTGCAAATACTTTGAAAAACTGATCTTCTCTCATCGTTCTTGTGATAATTGTCATTGTGATAGCAAGTGAGGGACAATCTCCCCAACAGGAAAGCAAACACCAGTGAAAACATAAGAAGGTATACATGGAAGCCTCTTGGATTCAGAGGTATAGTTATGATTGAAGACTGGCCTCTAGAGTCTTGGTTGCTCTGTACCATTGGGATAGGATGAGTTGCCCTCAAACCAACGGACAAAATGGTACAAGAAAATCTTTATCAGGGCTTAGAGTGAAGGAAGAGCTAATATCTGCACAAGCAAGAGAGGAATGTGTGTGGGGCGGTTTATTGGAATTGGAGTCAATCGGAATTCTCCTCAGAAGGCAATTTGGGCTGTTACAAAGTATTATCCTACAGTCTCCAGCTGGTAGGATTCAAGAGCTGGCTATTATTGGGATTTCCCTTCCAGATGACAGGTGTCAGGAGGGTAAGAGAAGAACAATGTCTTCACTGGGACACAGAGACAGAGAAAAATTCTACCCCTAAACATTTTGGTTGGAGTTTAACCTAGGTATTGATGTTTAGAGAAATGAATGACCAAGGACCAGCTATCGAACTCTAGGAACCTTTACCAATATTTCAAAGCTTTAGTAGGAGCGAAGGCATATATGACAAGGATATGTTTCACTGAAGTTCTCCATTAAAACAGCCACAAGAAATGTCTACATGTGTTATCACATGCTATTTAGTAGGTAAGCAACTGGCCAGCTGAGCCACATCATTAGAATCGGTATAAAAATCGAGTCTGGCTGCACATATTAAATGCATGTAATGATACACAGTAAAAGAATACAGAAATTCTTCACATGACTTAAATGTTGTGATGTATTTGTACATTAATAAAAAAGCAGAAAATGTTGATAGCCTGAAATGGATATTGGGCGTAGACCCCTCTTTCATTATTGGGTGAATAATGCTGCAACACATAGTACACATTACCCTTGAGGATCCACCAATATATAGTATGTTGTGTTGTATGGGAATAAAGAACAAACCCAAAAGGAGCCCAGCAGTGCCTGTTTGTTCATGATAATTATGTACAGCTCTTCTCCCCCTTTATTTGTCACAGCAGCAAGGCTGTAAAATACATTAAGCTAACAACAATATTCCAGATACTTTTTATTTTGCTTTGAATGGAGAGAGAAATCATTGGAACATTTGTCCGTTTTTAAGCGGTGAACGGGTCATCCAGTTAGGAGTGATACACATGAAAAATTCTCAGGAAAAGTAGCAATACTCCGCATATACCCAAAGACTCAGACGTGGTCCCCCCATGCAGTTCCACAACAGGTCAGATATTTTGCAAAGAGCCATGAAGAATGGGGAATCAAAATTCCTTGAAATACATTGACTGTATTTGTCAGGATCTGGATCTTCTATGTGTATGATTTTTAACTTGAGATGCTCCTCACTGTACACATACAAAAGCTACCCACCTGAGGACCCAGCTCCCTGTCTGGTACCTCAAGAAAATGAGCAGCCCAAGCCTAATAAGAGCTCCCATTACCAACCCATCAGAGAACCCAAAGCTGAAGCCTTGAATCTACAAAAACAAATCCCACAGACACAAAGGCTTGTTTTACTGCTGTTTGGGTCCCTTTTGGGAAGATTCCTTGTCACTTCCTGTGCCAGAGACATGACAGGAACTGATTGAAAAGTTCCTCATTGGAAGGTTTTCCCTCACCTCCTGTTTATCTGACAGTAGTCACATTTTGGATTTTCCCTCATCGTTCTTGTGATGATTGTTACTAGGATAACAAGTGAGAAACAATCTACCCAACAGGAAAACAAATACCTGGTGTATATGGAAGCCTCTTGGATTCAAAGATATACAGGTCTATTCACTAAAGGGTGAAGAGTTTGGAGAAGGCCGGAGAAGTGAACAATCTAGGCCAAAATAGCTGATTTGGATGAATTCTCCAATTCAGCTCACTTTCCACTTCAGCTATGTTGTCCTGGATTGTTCACTTCTCCTCCCTTCTTCAAACCCTTCACCCTTTTGTGAATAGAGCTGATAGTTATAATTGAAGACTGACCTCTAGGGTCTTGGTTGCTCTCTACCATTGGGATGAGTTGCCCACAAACCAATGGACAAAATGATAAAGGAAAATGACTCAAGCACCACTCCCTAAATGGGTGGCTACACTTAATCTATTTGATAGAGTCAAGTGAGATGGACGAATAAAATGTATAAATCTGGGGGAATCACCAATACTTTACATGGCTAAAACTCCCCTAAACCCTCACAATGTAATTCACCATTTTGTATCACCATTTTGTTTTGCCAGATGTTTGATTATCAGACTGCACCTCTGACTTTTATAAATTGATAGGCTATAATAATGTATTATGTTTCTTTTAGGGTCATAGCTTTTTAGATGGTTTAAAACACGTCCACTCTTCCTTGAGAAAGTCGGATGTGAATCACCAAAACATCGGTGTAATAAAGCTACTGTACTGTTCTCCTTGTTCATCCTATGGAAGTGCTTACAGTACCTGTAGCTACATTATTTGATTTGTGTGTGTGTATCCTTATAGAACCATGAAGAAACTATGTTTCCTCCATGAAACATGATCAAAATTACAATAAACTCAACTATGCCTATCAAATGGACCACCCATGCCTATCCATTTAGGGGTGTCAACCAATTTTTATCAATTTTTACCAATTTTTTGTCCATCATTACAGGTTTCCTACTTCAAAACTAAGAAAAAAAAATTTGCTTGATGTCCCACTGTAACATATAACTATAGGCTCTCCACACAGGCATCTGGTTTTACCTCAAGGCACGATCTATGTTTCCTAGTCACCTATTGCTTCTATGTTTTATTTGGCAATATGTTGTCTGCCAGACCAAATGTCCATCAAAATAAACTGTGTGAGTTTGTTGAAGAAAAAAAAAAAATGTCCATAGCTTATTCGTCAGTGAAGCTGCATGTTCATTCGTTCTATGTGCGTTAACCTGCTCTTGTTAGAATGGGGTTAAAAAAAAATGTTTATTTTCTCTTCTGGGCAAACCTTCTTTATTAGGTTTATTTATAAAGTACAAAGTGAACCAGCAAAATACCTCATCATGGCCACTAGATGGAGCTATAATATATGTATGCGTCTGCGTGAAGTGTATGTGTTCATGTCTGTTTGTGGGTCTACATGCAACACGAGTGGCAAAACATGTCAAGAGGTGCGCAAGGGATTTAAATCCAAACAATATACAATGGAGTGTTAGTAGGGTTTGGAAACAGACAAACAGCATCGGTCTCATGGAGCCATCGGTGAATACACAGAGAGACGACACACACCGATCTGGAAGTGGTGAGTGGCAGGCAATGTGGACAACGATCGATCGCTATTAACTCTTCAGTGACACTAGGTTGTGCAAGAGAAATAATGCTCTCACTGGCATATTATCTGTTCATGACATAAGCAGGCGGCAGCCATTTTGTTTTCCAAATTGGTGTGAAATTAGGAGTTCTACATAGCAACCGATGAGATACTTGCTTTTCCCTACTTCGCCTGCTCTATTAAAAGGGCTATTTCTGATGTCAGCAGCTCCACCTTTCACCTCCTCTTATTATAAAGTAGATATAAATCCCAACTGAATAACATTTAGTTTGCCAAATGATTTTTCATCCTTCGTTTTATCTCAATGCTGATGATCTCCTGCAGCCTCTTGCAGGCCACTTACTATTTACATGCACATGGGAGCATAGGAATTTCACATGATGGCCACTAGATGAAGCCTGAGAGCATAGGAATTTCCCATTATGGCCGCTAGTTGAAGCCTGGGAACCTAGGATTTTTACATAATGGCCACTAGATGGAGCCTGGTTGCATAGGAATTTCACATTATGGCCACTAGATGAAGCCTGGGAGCATAGGAATTTCCAATTATGGCCACTAGATGAAGCCTGGGAGCCTAGGAATTTTACATAATGGCCACTAGATGAAGCCTTGGAGCATAGGAATTTTACATAATGGCCACTAGATAAAGCCTGGGAGCCTAGGAATTTTACATAATGGCCACTAGATGAAGCCTGGGAGCCTAGGAATTTCACATTATGGCCACTAGATGAAGCCTGGGAGCATAGGAATTTCACATTATGGCCACTAGATGAAGCCTGGGAGCATAGGAATTTTACATGATGGCCACTAGATGAAGCCTGGGAGCATAGGGATTTTACATGATGGCCACTAGATAGAGTCTGGGAGCATAGGGATTTTACATGATGGCCACTAGATAGAGTCTGGGAGCATAGGAATTTCACACGGTGGTCACTAGATGGCGCTAAAGAGCATAGACATTACCTATGCTCTTTGGCTCCATTAATTGGCCAGAATTACAACTAACCCATTTGCAGAGCTTTTCACTCTGCAAACCTTTTATGAATACACCCCTATTTGTATATCCAGCTTTAGTTACAGGTCAAGCTGTAAATAAAAAAAATGACAGACCACAGTCTTAGGATAGCTGGTCTGAACACATTCTTGTAAGTACCGACAATCCTTCAAAATGGTTGAACCCTCTACACAGAGTCGCTGGGGTGTTTTCAGTCCTACCCGTTTGTTCACTATTATAGTTAATGTGGGTGTTTAATTATTGTGGATTTCTGATACCTGCTTGGCGACGATTCCATATAGCATTGATGGGAACATTAACACTCATATACATACACACACACACACGCACACACACTCTCTCTCTCTTTCCCTCTCTCTCTTTTTACCAGTCTGTATTCGGGAAGACTGACCTCCGCAAGCTGAAAAAGACAAGATAAAGAAAACACAATTGTTAGATCCTGTACAGGTAAAGCAGTGCAGCTGGACAAACCCCCCTTTCTGTAAACAATTAAAAAGAGTTACAAGGTTGCAAAACCAATAACGAAAATTAAAGAATCGCCTGGTGCCTGTCTTTCTTCTAAGGCCCCATTCACACTGCGCGATTCGCAAATCGCGCGTTTGTCGCGCGATGTGCATTTTGCGCGATATCGCGCGATTTGTCGCGCGATATCGCGCAAATGCTTGCATTGAGCAAGCTTGAATCGCGGCTAAATCCGCTCCAAAAAGGGTCCTGCTGTAGCGACACACGACCCGCGACAGCAGGACCCTTTGCCCCATTGAGAAGCATTGGAGAGCGATATCGCGCGGTAAATTGCCGCGATATCGCGGGAATTACCGCGCGATAATTCGCTCAATGTGAACGGGGCCTAAGGTCTCGTTCACACCTAGGCGTATTGCATATGCGCGTCTGTCGCGCGACCGTGATTCGCGGAAAAAAAAGTTGCGCGCCCGTCGCGCGCTTCCGAACTTGGCTACTTGGCTGTATTCCAATGGAAACACGCAACAAAACGGCCCAAAGTAGTACCTGTACCTTTTCAGGCGTGGGCCGTTTTGTAGCGCGTTAGGGACGGGCGGAAATACGCCAAGGTGGGAACGAGACCATTGAATACAATGGGATTTATATTTTTGAGCGTTTTGTAGAGCGTTCGTCGAGCGTAGAACGCACTACAAAACGTTCAGGTGTGAACGAGGGCTAAAAGAGAACTATGAGGTGAGTGCTTTTCACTCACCTCATAGTTCCAGCCGACCTGTGACAATGAAACTGTCACAGGTCGGCTCAGTAGATCGGGAGGTGAGCGAACACATACCGGCGTTCGCTCACCTCTCGATCCTGTCACAGCCTTCTGCCGTGACAGGGGAGGGGCTGGATTCCCCCCTCCCTGCCCCGATCCGCCAGCGCTGACTGGGGGAACGGACGGGGGAGGGGGCGGCTACAGCTGGCTCTGCCTCTAGATAGGCAGAGCCAGCTGTCACTCACGCAGCTGGGCGGATCCCGTCACAATTGTCGGGATCCGCTTCAGCTGCGGCGTCTCAGTATACAGCTCGCGGTATACTGAGCCTAGGGTGACGGGAGGAAGCCTTAACCCCATAGTTCTCCTTTAATCTATAATATAAAATATGATTAAAATTAAAGTCTAGTGAAAAGATTTGGTTTGGGCATGCTGAACCATTGTTACAATGTACCTGGAATGAAGTGTTTCCCGTGATCTGTTGGTTAGTATAATAATCCTCCCCAATGTGATGCCAAATACGCCGCACAGTGCTGATCTTCAGATGCTGCAAACAGGAGAGACTGTGGCTGCAAAGGATTGCACTGATCACCCTCCCTTCCTGTCCCCTCACCCATCCACAAAACTCCCAATATTATTTTCCTAGAATGCAAGGCGTTCTGTGAATGGAGGAGGATGGTCCTGTCATTTATCCACCTCATCTCCATTCACCGAACACCTTACATTCTGGGAAAATAATACTGGGAATGTTGTGAATGGATGAGGGGACAGGAAAGGGAGGGCAAGATCCCTACACAGCAAGATCTTAACACCAGCATTGCCAGAAAGTTGGTGCTGTGAGGAGTAGCCGGCATCACTGATGGGAGGTTATTACTCTAAACAACAGCCAGCGGATACAATTCATTAGAGGTGCCTTATTACACTTCACATTAGGGCTGCAACAACTAATCGACATAACCGATTATAATCGATTATTGAAAAAGTTGTCAACTTTTTCAATAATCGATTAATCGGCTTCCGATCAGTTGGCTCGTTCACAGCTCCACACGCTGTGCGCCGCACCTCCTCCCCACCTCATGCTCGCCGCTGCCAGACCCGCTCGCATCCACGCTCCACACGCCGCACCTCCTCCCCGCCTCACATTTCCTGCCCATCCACATCCACGATCGGCACAGGGACGCGGGGAGATGTAGTAAGGAGGAGCAGGTGTGGGGGGATGACAGCCGCTGATAGACAGGTCCGATCTCAGAAGCAAGTTGCTGGAAGACTGCTCAGGTAAGCCTGCACTTTCCCACACATTGTGCTCTATAATGTATTGCTGGGATTTGTATTTCTCTATAGCTGATGGTACATTGTACTGTATATTATACATAGGAATACAAATCCCAGCAATACATTATACACTGTATGTATAATGTATTGCTGGGATTTGTTGTACTCCTCTATAGCTGGTGATAATCTGCATTGCACTGTATAGAGCACTACAAGTCCCAGCAATAATACATTATACAGCGCAATGCAGAATACCACCAGCTATAGAGGACTACAAAACCCAGCAATAGTACATTATACAGCCCAATGTAGAATGCCGCCAGCTATTATGTACTATTTCTGGGATTTGTTGTATTCCTCTATAGCTGGCGGTATTCTGCATTGCGCTGTATAATGTGCTTTTGCTGGGTTTTGTAGTCCTCTATAGCCGGTGCCATTACACTTTCCATTTCACTATATTGCACACCACACTATCTTTTTTTTCTTTTTTACTTCCACCGCTCTAAGCTTGCTCCTGTGATGAACTACAACCTCAATACAAACTAGTAGTCCATCACTGGAGCCATTTTTTAAACTTTATTTTATTGTTTATCCGATTAACCGATTAATCGAACCTAATAATCGGCTAACTAATCGATTTTGAAAATAATCGTTAGCTGCAGCTCTACTTCACATACACTTGTTGTATGCCCAAAAAAACATTTTAGTAGACTTCGACTTTAAAAGTTTTTCCTAATGCATTTTTAATGTAGTTTTGGATTGAATAATGAAGATAATGTTTAAAACCATTGTCAGATTTTTTGTTGTCTGTGTCCCAATCCGGACATTTGCCTTTACTTCCTGTCCTAAAAACACAATAGGAAGTGAAAAGAACTCTCTTCAAGGTGAGGGGGAATCCTCTTATAGAGAGCTGTTCCTGCAACAAGTGTCCCCATTGGAAGATTTCCTCTTTATTCCTGTTTTGGTGGCAACTGCTAGATTTTGGATTTGTATTTCTCGGTCATCAGGACAAACAAAGAGAGTGAATCTCCCCAGCAGGGGCACAAATTGTTTTCAGTATCTTAATTATGACACTTACCACAATGCTGGCTCATCTCCTGCCTCACATAACTGCGGACTTCCTCCTCCTGGTAACAGAAAGAACATACAGAATATATCATTGTGGTATGTACATATACTGAGAATAAAGAACCTAATAAGCCCGGGAAGGGCCAGCATAAGCAACAATGGGCCCACGTCTAGGGGGCACCATGGGTGATTCATACTCTGGGTGTGAAACATGAGAGTATTACATTTCTCTGATGTCAGTCGTTAAACAAATATGTCTACAGTTCAGGTAAATAAAACTCACTGTCATTCCTGGAGATCCCTTCTCTCCTCTACCTCCATCTGGTCCCATCAGACCCTAAAAAAAAATAGCAATGGAACACAATTATAAAAGCAGTAACATTAACATTTGGATTCAATCAAAATTTGCAAAATGGTAAAGCATGGACTTTGCTGATTGCAGAGTTATGGGTCCGACTCAGCAGCAGGGGCGGACCTACCAGAGGTGCAGCTGGGGTGGCTCCACCAGGGCCCGAGGCTGTCGTGGCCCATTGAGATGGCAGAATAACAGGAATGGGATCTTTAATGTCAGCTCCCCCCACCCGATTATCTTGGAGAACGTGCAGGTATCGGGGAACGGGGCGGGGTCTCCTCCAGGCACGGGTCTGGGCCTCCTCTCAGCACAGACAGAGGTGTAGTTCCACCCACTCCTGTTTACTTAGTGGGCCGGTCCATGCAGGGATTGTGGCCATGCCCCCTCACGCCGTCTATATGGAACCGCCGCTACTCAGCATGGGGCGTGTTGGAAGTTCTGCAGAGAGACCACTGCTTCCACATAGAGAGCAAGGGTCCTTTTCTGTAGCATGATGGCAGGGGACAGACTTTCCTACTCAGGCTGTGGCTGTGTACTTAAGAACACCAAGTGTAAGACTTTAAACAGCTTTTGTTCTGATGCATCTGATGTTCTGAAAGTTCATTTGGGCTTTAAATTAAACTGCAATGCTGGAACAGGTAAAGGGTATACTGCAAGACAGTAAGTATACTCCTGTAGCTCTATTTTATTTATTTAGTACATTTCTTATATTATAGTATCTTATGTCCTCAGTAGGGGCAGACAGCCAATTGGAGCTGAAGTAGGGAGGTGTCGGAGCATTATTTACTATCAATCAACGTGGCACAGATTCCCCGGTCTTTAGGGCCATGTATATGCCCGTCCCTACTGATCATATATAAGGTGTAAACACTGGGATGGACTCATGAAGTCTGGCCAGAGCTAGCAAGCATTCTGGACTAAAAATATAGCCCAAAATGGCCGATGATAGGCAACATCTGCACAGCAAACCTATGCACAGTGCAATTCATGGCACCTCAATGCAATATGAATTTGGGAACTTCACATATGAGACCTAGACAAGAATGTAGGTTTGTGTGATGGAAGCACTAAAAACGTCAGCCATACCTGCTCACCCCGTTCTCCTGTGACTCCCGGAACTCCACGTGGCCCCACAATTGCCTCTCCAGAAGGGCCCCTGTCACCCTGAGAAACAGGGCCATGAAAAACAATTAGACATAGTAGCACTTGGAGATGCTATATAATAACATAATGTGTGATAATATTTAAGCAAAACCCATCAAAATACAATACACTGTACTTATTATAGCAAATATCTAAATCATATGTATCAGCATTTTGGGCTTATTCATTTGTAAGGTGGGAAGGTTACCGTAGACTTAAAATATCAATCTACCTATACAAAAAATGAAAATGTTACCTTTACTTAGTAATGTTCTCACCTTCTGTCCTTGAAGACCTTCAGGGCCTTTTGGACCAGCAGGTCCTGGAGGACCCGGAGGGCCTGAAATCCCATCGATCCCTCTTGTGCCAGTTGGACCATTTGGCCCTACAGGACCCTAGAAAGCGGTTACATAAATTATAGTACCTTATTTGGGTAATCTATCAAGCAAACCACATTGTTATTTTGATAGAAATAAACAAAAGACTTAAAACTATGTATGCTGCATGATCAAAAGTATCCAGACACCTGCCGGTTGAATATCCTATTTTAAAACCAAGGTTATCGTTATGAAGCTGTTCTCTCCTATGTTACAATGAGGGCTTCTGTTCCTCTGGCAAGGCTTTCCATGAGATGCTGGAGCATTGTTGGTGGGATTTGCTCCATTTGGGTGAGGTTGGGCACTGATGTTGGGTGACCAGGCTTGGTTTTCAGTCAATGTTCCAGTTCATCCTAGGAGTGTTCATTGAGGCTCTGTAGGTTTTCGAAGGCTTCATGTAAGCCTGTAAGGTTCTTTAACATCCATCCCAGAAAACTGGTAGGCATGTTTAATAGGGTAGACCTCGGACTAAGTGACTTGGAAAGGAAGTGTCCTATGAAGACCCTTTGCCAGTCATTAAGCTCTTCAATACGACCCTTTGGACTGCCAAAATTTGCTGTTGAAGACCATGTGGCTGTAACCTGATGTTTAGTCCATACAGTATGTCCAGTATATTATATAGTGTGTCAACAATGTTGTACCATATAGTGTTTGTTGTATGATACTGTACACCATCATGTCACCATATATAAATTGTATGAATGCTCACCCTCTCGCCTTTCTCTCCTTGATCACCTTTATTACCCTGTAGTCCTTCAATGCCTCTGTCACCCTGCAAGGAGAAACCACAAATTAGTATCAATTAAAACTACAAACAACATTAAATAGATCCCGTCACCTTGCCCATTCAAGATGCAAAAGGTTCCTTGTTGTATGAGCCAGCTATCAGCTAATGGGCCAGATCACACTATTGATTAATGTTTTCACCCAAGGTTCACACATTTTCAAATCAGATTTAATCAGGGAATGCGTGCATCCTGGCCTGAAAGGCGTGCGAATCTTAGGAGAAGACATTGGTGTTTATTTTATAAACAAACATTTACTATAGGAACTCCAAAGACATGCTGGAAGGTTAATTGGTTCCTCTCACAATTGTCCCTTGTATGTATGCATGTGAGGTAGGGACCTTAGATTACAAGCTCTTTGAGAGCAGGGACTGGTGTAAATGTGCTTTATGTAAAGTGCTGTGTAAATTGTCGGCGCTATATAAATACCTGTAATAAATAAATAAATAATAAATGAATAAATAGAGTGCATCCATGTTGCTCGGTTTGCAAAGCATGCTGTGACTTTTAAAGAGAAAACCCCTGGCATTGCTTGCATGCTTGTTGACAGCCTGTGTGTGAGGTAGAAGGTTGATGTTTTGCTCCTCTTCTCTGCGCCACTGACCAATGACAATAATACATTTTTAAAAATACATAAAAACACTGTAAAATATTTTAACCAAAGCACCTACATTACCTTGGCACCAATAAGTCCTTCTTTCCCAGGTAGGCCAGGCTGTCCTGGGATGCCAGCTTCTCCCTACAAGTATAGCACTGATTGTTAGTTATAAAGACAAGACAAATACAGTCATCCCCATGTAATATATTTTTGCCCATTGGTCAGCTATGAATAATACACTATATCTTTATAGGCAAAGCTATAGAGCGACCGCAGACCTGGAATCAGATACCACAGAATTATAAATTAATACAATTGCTGCTTACCAATTCACCCTTCCTTCCTGGAATACCATGGCGGCCTGGCATTCCCGTGTCACCCTGGAATGAAAGTCATTCAATATGAATAAAGCACCCAGGATTGATATCTGAACACATTTTTAAACCTACCAGGAAGACACAACTAAACTTCTTTAAAGCTTAATTCCAGTTTGGGCAATAAACTTAAGGTGGATCTCGCTGGCAGCTCTGTAATAATAAAATGCAGTCCTGGCTGCTATACTCACCTGATCCCTAGGGCTGTTCCCTGCAGACTTACTGATCTAGCACTGTGGTGCCACTCCTCTTCTAGGGTTAATGAGGCCTGGCATCACCCAACCCAGTTATTGGGAGCCCAGGGCATCAAGGCTCTGCCACCTGCCCTTGGGCTCACAGGGGAATGCTGCAGAGAGTGGCACCATGTCATTATGTTAAGTCGCTCTCTGTTGTATTTAGGATTGTTCCAGAGAAAAGACAGGGTGATGAGCCATCACTGGTCGCAAGATCGATGGAAGACGATGGAAGAAAGGTTAGGGGGTAAGTATGCTGATGATCTTATATGGTGAAGGTGTAGGGCTCCAAGGAGGGCAAATGAGGGAGGGGGCAGGGAGTGAGACCCAAGCCAGGGGTTGGGCTTTAACAAAGCATAATGATAATGTGCCATGCACAGCATAGCATAGCTTCCAATCAGATTTCAACATATCAAAGCTTAATCAATACATTGTATTTGGCTGCAACGATTCCTCACACACTGTAATTCATGATTTACTTACCAACTTAACATCTAGGCCTCTTAATTGGTTATTGAACTCTACATAGGCTGGTGGTATCCATTAAAGTAGGCCAGTACCGAATGTTATGTTAGATCTTGTTGGGATGTATAAATAAAAGTGTACCTATCCCGGAGAAAATATTGCTAGCGCCAGCCACATGACCAAAAGCCTAGCACTTTGGTCACATGAGCTCTACTCAAGGGGAAGATCAGCCAGTCGAAATTCTCTAATACTACCCATTAACAGAGAAAATGTGATCAGAAGGCTAGGCTTTTATGCATTGCAAAGAAGTAGAAGAAGCTTCCTCTTGCAATGTAATTCCACAAAACAGTGACCCAGTCCCAATTCACACAAATCACTCATTAAAACTCTACACTCAAAACTGACTTGTAATAGACATTTTCCCAGCTAATAAAGTTGTCAAGAAAACATATCCCAACATTCTAAGAGTTTACTGGTTGTTTGTACCCAAATTGGAACTCTCCTTTAAGGGTTTCAAAATGTCAGAGGTATTGTTTATTTCATATAGGAAATTAAGCAAAATCACCTTGTCTCCTTTCTCACCATCCTGGCCACAAGCTCCCTTAATGCCGCGGTCTCCCTGGAAAAAAAACCAAGGCAGTTAAACAGGGACAGCAAAAACATTTTTCTCAGCATACATTGTTTCTGGTTCTTAAATGACCAGTTCAATTTAAACAGATATTGCAGTTTTTGGTAGCTTCTAAAGCAATAAACCCCCTGGAAGTCTTTTTTTAATTTCTCAGGGACTCTATTGCTGAGATGTCCACACTGAGATCATGGGTCTGCACATCCCCTATGCCCATTATAAAGGGCTCCTACCATCACTGCTGGATCTTTAATTTATTTTATATTATAGAAAATCTAATGAGTTACTGGAACACACAAAGCACCCTAAACTCCCAGGTAGACAGTACCAGAGCCGGGATTGATGGCAGGGTGACCTTGCTGTTGGAATATGCAAGACCTATAAAAAGCAAAAGCCTCACTATTCCCACCATGCTCCAATTATAACTAAACTATCATATTTGATGCACTGATCTTTTAAAGGCTGGTTAGGAATACCATTAAATACCCACATTGCTCTACCAGGCACCTGACCTGACATAGGTTTCTTACCTTTGGTCCTCTTAAGCCATTTAGACCAGCATCTCCTTTCTCCCCACGTGGTCCAGGTAAGGCATCCTTACCTGGCTTACCCTAAAAAGAGAAAAGAAGCAATATTAGGTAACAAATTAATAGGTCAGGGGTCAGAGATGTTGAATAGCAGCTTTAGATTCAGTTAGATCAAGGATTCTGTGAGGAGTTTGACTCCAAATCATTATGTAAACAAAAGTAGATACTCTACTTATGAGCAATCAAACTAGATGTTGACAAATTTGCTTCACATTTGCTGTAAAAGCATCCAAGTGCCATCCGGCAGTAAGAACCTCCTTGACTTGACTAGCAGTCATGTAGAATGCTAAGGACCTCGAACAAGTTAAATGTCCCCATGGGACATGTCACCCCCTATACTTGCCCCCTCCTTTCCTTCCTGTATTGACCTTATGGTTAATGATTTCTTTAACTGAAGTAGTATAATAAAGCTACAGAATTGTGCCCACTTTCTCTGCTGGTTTCTCCTTATCTTCCAGTTCCTGACCTCACCTCCCTCTTCCAGACACAGAAACAGCTCTTACCAGAAGATTTCACACTGCTTTGATCTAACGGGCAACTTTTAAAACAAGAAAATTACTGGATGATGAAATCTGGATGGAAATTAAGCAACCAATGAGACTGTAGTTTCAACATCTGGGGTCTTGTACAAGTTTGGATCTTCAATCAAGCTGTTATCTCCCCTCCCTTCCTTTTTGTCACAGCTTTGACTTTATTGGGGGTGTTGTTGCCCACCTGTGTGGTTGGACAGTGTTTCTGGTGGCACCTGGTAGTATGGAGCAGATTCTTGGTGGTTTGGTTAAAACTGTAACGTTGGTTTTGGTCTGTGTGTTTAAAGTTCTGGTATAATGAGGTTAAAAGTAATCATATTCTGTTTTAAACACTAATAAAGGGCTGCAGCTATTATTTTCCACACCTAGGTATCCTGGTTTAAATTATCGTCATTATTGATCATTTTATCATTATTGAGTTTGTTACTATGTGGGTGGTTCTCTCATTTCATCTTGGTGTCATTTGGAATGGATGTTAAGGTTGTGTGAACTGTCTAACCCCAGTTATATATCATAAGCCATAATAAAAAGTGAGTATTAGCTAAAAAACAAAACAGGCAAGTGTATTATATGACAAAAAACGTTCACTTACCGCCTCTCCCGGTTCACCCGATTCTCCAGTCTCACCCTAGAGTAACAGACACATAGAAAATACATTGCCTTATTAAAGAGACACAATGTGGGGAAATGTAATTCAGAAATGTTCTGATTATGTTCTGTTTTCATTTTTCTTGACATACACTTTATTACAAGTGAAAAGATAGTGGTCTTTGATATCTGAAGTTCCACTTTAAAGATGTGGAGGCAACATGTGAAAGAATGTTTTCAGAACTGCACAAAGCCTTTGATGTAGAACAGAAGTTAGAAATTATCATTACCTTTTGTCCACCTGGCCCCCGAGGACCTAAAAAGCCAGTGGCGCCCTTGTCTCCTGCTTCTCCTTTAACTCCCTGCAGACATGTATTAAAAGGGATATTACGTATGTTTCTTTCTCCAAATAAAGGAAACCTTTAGAACCTAAGCACAGTAATTTTATATTTCTCTTTTCTTCCAAACAAATAACCAAAGAAATGGAGAATGAAAGCGATGCGTTAAAATAAAAGCCTGAGAGTGAGAAGCAGAGCATTCATCAACACTTCTAGATACTTTCAGACTGTGCTAGTGCTAGCTTAGAATTCATATATACCATACTGACATGTATATCACAATATTCCCTGAAGGTATACATTTAACACGATGTTTGTCAAGAGGAAGGAACATTAAGAAATCCTCCATGAGAAAAATACCCTTTGTAATCAGTGGCAGGGACAGTGGGGTGCCAGGAGTGCCAGGAACACATAGGCAGTTGCAATTGTGCCTTGCTCTGTTGGGTGGAGTGATTTCCTCCTAAATTATAGTTTCAGTAGCAGTGGAGAGAGGGAGGGCTGGGGGGCTTATTGCCGGGGGTTATCATCGCTGGCCCTGACACTTGCTGGGGCTTATTGCTCGGGGTTATCATTGCTGGTCCTAACACTTGCAGGGGGTTACTGCTTTCCCAGACACTTGCAGGGGGTTATTGCTGCCCTGCACGTGCAGGGGGTTATTGCTGCCCTGCCACGTGCAGGGGGTTATTGCTGCCCTGACACTTGCAGGGCGTATTGCTTTGAGTTGTCATTGCTGGGGGTTATCATTGCTGGCACTGACACCAATGCTGGGAGTTATTACTGCTGCCACTGACACCAACAATCGGGCTTACTCCCACAACGTTTTTAGTGTACCCCAAGGCCCCATATTGTCTAAACCATAGCAAAGCAAAGGGAGAAAGTTGGCACACTGCAAGCCATACACCATGAATCAATACCCACTTTCTGACTACACCCACACAAGGACACAGCGTGCAGTGAGCTACACGGGCCACATATTTGCAATCGTTTTAAGGCGAGTGGCAGGTGGCCCAGGTCATTTTTATGCCCTCTAATAACAAATGTAGAACTGATTTGAGCTCTTTTGGACCAGCAATGTAACGGACACTGCTACATACTTCTAACCACGGGACTCTGTACGCTTCAATGTGCTTATAAGGAGGCTGCAGTCTGTGTTCTTACGACACTGTGAATGGTTTCTATATACTGTATATTGCATTGTTCATTTTCAGACTACAGTAAGCATTTGGTATGTGTGCTTTTATTATAACAAAGGATTCAGGGTCAGGGGCTTAGTTCCTCTTATTTAAAACTCCCAGCACCAGCAAAGCACCACCAAAAAACAATTGTCTGGAGCCATCTGATTGTAATATAAATTTCTCATTCAGACAACCACTCTCACAAATCCTGAATCCATTTGTAGGTCCAACAGAAAACATGTCTGTATTTTACCCTTTCGCCGCCAATTCCTTGGTCTCCTTTATCCCCCTTTTCTCCTTCAGAACCTTTCAATCCTCGTTCTCCCTGGAGGAAAATACAGATGTCAGTATACATAGAAGACAATCAAACATTTTAACATGCTAATGAGTAACTGATCCCTCAAAGGTAACCTGTAAGCACAGAAATACAGAAGCTGCCACTGCTAACTAGTTTTTTAAAGGAGTTTCAGCGTTTTAAATTTTTTTAAGGTTGCCATTTTCTTTACTACCTGAAGAGTCACTAACCCAGAAGAAGTATGTAGCCCAGTGTCATTCAACTTCTTCCCATGAGCCTAGGCTGTCATGGACACACCCCCCTGGAGCGGGCTGGGATCACACTACAGCTTATTCACCATTATGTGCAGTAAGCACCACCCATCCCTGGACAAGAAGAAGGATCCTTGACGTAACTTGACCAGCCAGAAGACAGCTGGGTTCAAGGAATACATTTTGGAAGTGAAAAAAAATAAATAGTTGCAGGTAGAGGTTCAGGGGATTGGGCAGGGAGGGAGGTTACCAGGGGACTGGAGAGTCCAGGGGGCCAGAGACTGGAGATGAGCTTCAAGTGCGGCTGACCATGAAACACTTGAAACAAGGGTCCCTGATGTCTCACTGTTGCATTATCAATAAAGATTTAATGCGCACAATCTAATGGTATGTGCCGTCAACTTCTCTGAATGTCACATACATAGTGACGTTTCAGCTTGCATACTTACTCATAGGTTAAATCAAGAATGAGTCCAACATTAAAAAAAAGTGCCGCAATCTCAGACCTATAGATTCATTTTAACAAGGTCCACTTTTTTTTTAGCAGGTCAAGGTTTAATAAGGAAGTTTTATAACTTTTGTGTTTTATTAGCTACAACCCAAAACACGTACAGGCTATTATAATTATTATTGAATGTCGTCAAGTGAATGTCGACTCCTGGTGACCACATGGAAAATATTAAAATTCTTCGCCCACACTGTATCAATGTCATATGTCCTGTAGCACTCCTTGCTGGATATCCCAAGATAATGTCGGGTGCTCGAAATGACTGCTGATGGCGCTGCTCACAGTAGAATTTTAAATAGAGATGTCATCAGCACACCAGCACAACACTTTCCAAGTGTCGTGCTGGAAGCAGAGTTCAATGAAATGTGTTTGAGAAGTGACCATGTCCTACTGTTTGACTCACCTGATCTTCAGAATTTCTAATGAAGCTATGCTATTTTTATTGGCTGTCTGAATCTCCCTTTTACTTATTTCTTCCCTGAGATCTTCCCCTAGAGACATTACTAGCCTATGGATGCAACCTACTGATTTTTAGAGATACAGTTTTCCCATATAATCTCCTAGGCAAGCAGATTTTTATGAAATGTGTTGAGAACGAGACCCTGTCCCACTGCATCATAGCCTGGCCAATTCCGATCTTTGCACGTACAGACACATTCGAATTTTGGAAAATCTTTCATCCTTGCTCTTCCAAGTGCCAGTCAGCATCATATTTTTTGACTGCCTGATCACTTGCTAACAACTGATCCAAGGAGATAGAAGCTGTCTGCTATTTCTAAGTCTTCACCACTAACTTTACCAAATTCTATGTCATGTATTAATCAACTTACCAATTCTCCTTTATTTCCTCTAGCACCGGGAGGTCCTTCAATAGTCAGAGTGTCACCCTAGAAAGATTAACGGTTATTAGAAATGTCCTACAAATAAGAGAACACATCTGATGACTGAAAGAATGAAGGAGGGATTATTACCTTGTCTCCTTTAATTCCCATGGGGCCCGCATCACCCTGGAAAAGACAGCACAGGATATAGTCACAATCACACTTATAGGTATATTTGTAAACAATTTACAGGGCCATTCACCCTGCAAATGTCTGTGAATGTTCATTTTGTGTGAATAGTGGCACAAGCAAATAATCTTATTATATTTTATTTTCAGGTCAAATGTATTGTGATGTAATACTGCAATATGACCACTAGATGGAGCTGAGCACAATAGGAAATAATGACTTCTTCCCTGTGCTCCTCAGTTCCATCTAGTGGCCATAATGAAGAGTTGTATCACAATACATTTGATAAAAAAATATATATATTAAAAACTTAACTTTTTTACATTATTTGCACATAACGAACATTCACAGATGTTCACAAGGTGAAAGGGTTCCTTCAGATTAGACTTGAGCTGCACCCTGCAAGGTGTAGTTCACCATGCTGCACCTCCTCAGGTGCTGGACAAACTTTGCTGCACAAACAACAAGCTCCGTTCGTGTCTAGGGATCACCAGAACTGTAATCCAGGCACAGGGCAGGCGAGCAAAGAACAGAAGCTTGTAATTATTTTGGCTGTCTGCATCCATGCCTCTGATCAACTGTGCTATGCCTTAATGACACAGCTCCATATATCCACATTTTGGAATAGAACCAGTCATGCAGGCAAAGCAATTGAGCTGCTGAGAAAGTGACAAGTTGCCTCTGGAAGGCTTGTCTATGTAAATTCTCCAACTGCTGTAAAATGACAGCTTAAATGGATAATATCCTACAGCAACAGTGTATGATATTTAATTTATGTGGTATATATTGTAAAAGACGCAACTATATTTTAAAGGGCAATTATAGTTTGTAAAGAGTCATATATGTGTTCATTTTGTAACGTTTTATTTTGCATAGTTGGTAATTATATACGGGGACAGCCGTCTCATCTCATTACTCATGCAGGCACTGCCATTGCTGTTTAGTAGCAATACATTGTGGATGTGCCTTACTGTTCTCAATGCAAGTCTTCTAGTCAGGTCAGCCTAATACTATGGGTTGCAATTGTTTCCAGATTTCAGCAGTTGTTGATGCGGAAGACTGGGTGCCACTGGAGGGAGAACCCACAATTCTGTATAAGTCATATAACAATAGAAAAATGATACAGCAAACATATAAAGAGGTGAAAGTTAGAAAATGAAGGGAAATATTACAATGATGAGTCACAATAATCATCGGAAATATACTGCGTTCATCCTATTTAAAAGAAGAACACAGAGCGGACTCTGAACTTGTAAATCTTACCTTGTCCCCTCGTTCGCCTCTGTTTCCAGGAAGCCCCTTATAAGACACAAAAAAAACTGCATTAGGGAAAGAACTCATTTAATGCCACAAAACAGGACAGAAGTCAGTAAAGGGGGCACTACAGAAGTACTTACAGCGGGGCCACGGTCCCCTTCCAATCCGGGGCGTCCATCTTCTCCCTAGAATGATAGAGAGCAGAAAGGGGTGAGAGCAATGAAAAAAGTAAAAACGGGCAGCACCGTGGCTTAGTGGTTAGCACATCTGCCTTGCAGCTCTGGGGGTCCATGGTTCAAATCCTGGTCAGGACACTATCTGCAAGGGGTTTGCAGATAGTTCCTGTGCCAGGCTGAGCATATATAACAGGAATACAAGGAGCATGTGTATATAATAGGGTATTTGTTCCAGTTCTGTGCAATGAAACAACTCTGTGGCAACTTCTGATAACACAGACTGCTCACTGCTCTCTCTCCTTGTGCAGGGTGACTGATCTTGTCTCCGCCCCCTCCTGCAATAAAGACCTGCTCCCACCTGTAATAAAGACCAGTCACTGCTGCTCTCTCTCCTTGTGCAGGGTGACTGGTCTTGTCTCCCCCCCTCCTGTGGTTTTCTGTCGATAGACTATAGCGGGAGGACCTGTTGGGCCCCTCCCACAGCTCTCAGGCTTTGTACAAAACAGCAATGATATCACTGCTACATTAACAAAATATCCCGGTTTGCAAAGGCATTTGGAGTACAAGAACTTGATTTATATCCTTTGTGTCTATTTAGGAATATATTGAAATTAACATTTTTGTGCCCGGAGTTCAGCTTTAAGGTAAGACCAGTACCAGGTCTAGTCTATGGTCCTGTATTACATGAAAGCTCGACCAATATGGAAAGATTCTTACTCTGGGTCCTGAGTCGCCTCTCTCTCCTCTTGGGCCCAGCAGACCAATTCCTTGGTCACCCTGTTAAAGAAAACAGAAAAACATAGGTGCTGAGCATATTCCTAAAATCTTCTGTGGACTACATCCATGTAGCATGTATGGACTATACAGTATATATATAGATAGATAGATAGATAGATAGATAGATAGATAGATAGATAGATAGATAGATAGATAGAGATATAGAGAGAGAGATATAACCTTTATTAAGTTAAAGACTTGTGTGTAGCCTGGTGGGATGGGGTCCTGGGCAATCTCTTTCAATGGGAACTCTTTCAACTTTGCACAAGCAACTCTTGAAGGACGCCCTTCTCACCTACAGCCCCACTGCCCAACAATGGCACCTGTGGCAAACATTTAGTGGGGATTTAACATTTTCAGCTTTGCACAAGCAACCTACAGCCCCACTGCCCAACGAAGGAGCCCATATTGGCCACCAGGGTGCACTCAATGGATAGTAAAATGGCAGTTGGGTGGGACTTTTCCAAAAAGTACAGTTCCTAATTACAAGTTCTCAACAGGGCAGGCAGAAGAGGGTTTTGTTGTAGTATATGCTCGTAGGCAGGACCACGGGGGTCAAGAGCTCTGGACTCAACTCTACCTGGAGATTTACACCCAAAATGACCCCTCAGAGATTGGGAAATGGAACCTAGAGCCAGACTGTAACATATGTCTTTTAGGGATGTAGAAGAATAATTGCACGGTTGTAGAATGATAATTGTACCTTATCGCCCTTTATTCCTGGAGGTCCTGGATGGCCCTTAAATAAAACATTGATATTAGTGTTAGCACAATATGCCCAATTCATAAATAATATATTCAACAATCTGGCCAGTAGGTGGCAAAACTTCTTACCGCTGGGCCACTTGCCCCTGCTGGTCCTTGCACACCTGGATTGCCTTCTCTTCCAGGAAAGCCAATCAAACCCTGAAGAAAAAGACAGACATGAGACTCCATAAAACCTCATTCAATTTACCTGACAGAGGCTGCAATTCTTACCCTCTCCCCAGGTGCTCCTGGTTGGCCTGTTTGTCCAGGTTCTCCTCTCTGACCCGGAGGACCAGGGTTTCCTGCTGTACCCTGCAGACCAGGAGGTCCAGGAGGTCCCGGCAATCCAACATCACCCTGAGAAATATGATATCATTAGTCCAATGCTTCACATAGTCCATAACAGTTTGATAGCTGATAAAAGAGACACAAACTGAAGTTCGATTCACGAAAACGTTATGTTGGTGCTCTTTTGCCAAAAAGGGCCTTAGTCATGAAGTAGTTAATATGGTAAGATGGCATAAATAGTATACATAGGTCAATTGATAATTTATTACCTACCTTCAAACCTTGTGGTCCCAGTTGTCCTGCTGGTCCAGGCAACCCAACTCCAACATCACCCTGAAAGTCAAGCATATATAACCCTGTTTAGGGATGTGTTCAGTGGCAGGTCCCTCATCTAACCTTGTGGCGGGACTTTAGAACTTACTTTATCTCCTTTTGATCCAGGAGGTCCTCTGGCCCCCTGCAAGAAAAGCATATACATTAAACCAAAGACTTGGTCCAGGCATTTGCACTACATCCTCCACTGAGTCCACTTACATTTTCGCCGGCCTCTCCAGAATCTCCTTTTTTCCCTGGCTCCCCCTAAAGCCAAAGAAGAGGAGAGCGCATTAGGAGACATGTTCTTCAAGGGTTCATAGAGGACATTTAACTATCTAAAACTGGCCCTGCCCACTAAAGAAAAGGACCTTATAATGTTTCTATGACAATCATGCACACATACAAGTTCACACAATTTGGTTGGAAAACAATACATTTCCCATAGATCGGCCTCGGACAACGCAGGCAGCAAAACAGAAAGTAAGAGGAGGTCTCCCCAACCAGGGCCTTAGACAGGGCCGGATTTCCCACAAGGCCACCGAAACCCGGCCTCGGGGTGACAGGGAGCAGAGGGGCGGCAGGGGTTTAGAATCTCCAGACGCCCAGGACATGCAGTTATGGGTGCCATGTTGGTTTATTGTTTCCTACATTTAGCCCTGTTTTGGGCAAGCAGAGTCAAATGTACAGCGGGGAAGCCCTCATTCATTTACAGGTGATCTCAGTGATGTCTTCAGGATGGAGAACGGGTGCGCATTAAGGAACCTGGCCTTGGGGCAGCAGAGAGAGTAAATCTGTCCCTGGCCACAGACAGTAATAAATCCCTACATGGGTTCTGACACTTTCCAGCAAAATGTCATTTCCCAACCTATATAAATGTTACAATAAAAGGTTTGGCCAGAGTTCTGCTTACACATCTGTTAAATATCATGCAATTTTGGTCTTCTATATACAGCTTTCATGTTTACTGTTTACCTTGTCTCCTCTTGTACCCTGTGGTCCTCTGTCTCCCTTTTCACCCTACAATACAACACAATATATTGTTGCTTACATACTCTAATTAGACAGCATGGATATAAAGAATACATACAATAGACAGCATGGGTATAAAGAATACATACAATAGACAGCATGGATATAAAGAATACATACAATAGGCACCATTGATAGAAAGAATACATACTATAGACAGCATGGATAGAAAGAATACATACAATAGACAGCATGGATAGAAAGAATACATACAATAGACAGCATGGAAAGAAAGAATACATACAATAGACAGCATGGATAGAAAGAATACATACAATAGACAGCATGGATAGAAAGAATACATACAATAGACAGCATGGATAGAAAGAATACATATAATAGACACCATGGATAGAAAGAATACATACGATAGACACCATGGATAGAAAGAATACATACAATAGACAGCATGGATAGAAAGAATACATATAATAGACACCATGGATAGAAAGAATACATACGATAGACACCATGGATAGAAAGAATACATACAATAGACAGCATGGATAGAAAGAATACATACGATAGACACCATGGATAGAAAGAATACATACAATAGGCAGCATGGATAGAAAGAATACATACAATAGACAGCATGGATAGAAAGAATACATACAATAGGCAGCATGGATAGAAAGAATACATACAATAGGCACCATGGATAGAAAGAATACATACGATAGACACCATGGATAGAAAGAATACATACACATTATGTAGGAAAAAGCAATATAAAAGAATCATTGTGCAAAACAATTTTCGAAACTCTCTATAAGCTTCTGCAAGCTCAGGAACACGTTGTGATATGTAGAGACCCTGAATTCCCTTCAGGGTGCCTTTTGGGGGTCTCTGCTTTCATTGTAAATCTCTTGGGTGCTGTTATGTTTCATTTTGAGCTTATTGTTGTCATAAATTACAGTGTTTGTCTATGACATTCCTTGTATGTCAACCGTATGGACGTGGATGCAGGAAGTTGGTACCTGAAAACCTGACAGGGGTAATGAAATGCTTACAGTATAAATATGAACCTACCCGTTCACCCGGTAATCTGTCAGCCTGGTCACTAGGAGCTCCCTGATAAAAATAATGTATTCAGATTGTTAAAACATAAAATGAAATCCTCAAGTTTGATATTCACTTATGTAAAGACACTTCTAAAAAGCAGGGTGGTACAGAATATACTACAGTCAAAATACTTAGTCCCTCGCTCACCTTGTCCCCTAACATCTACCCAGTTCTATTGCTCTGTATTTACATAAAATATTAGAGGGCTGGTAGGCTGCTGAGTCACTGCTGGGAGGGGGAGCTAAGCTACTAAATCACTGCCAGTAGGGGGAGCAGTGGGAGCTGACATACTAAGTCATTGCATTGTAGAGGGAGCTGAGCTGCTGAGTCACTTCTATTAAGGGAAACAGGAAATCTGAGTTGCTAGGTCACTGCCGGAAGGGGGAAGTAGGGGGAGCTGAGCTACTGACTCACTGATGGAATTAGGAAGCAGGGTAAAGTGAAATGAACTACTGAAGTCACTGCTGGGAGGGTGAGAGGGGTGACTAGAGCTGCTAAGTCATTGCTGGGAAAGGGGAGCAGAGTTCATTGAACTGACTTAAACTAGGATTTCAGTGCATCTCTTGTAAACTGTAAGGATAAATTGCTCCACAGTGCCTGCGGCTACAGAGGTCAGTGAAGACAGAGAACTCATTACATGTATTAATTCAGACATTTTTAAATGTATATTTAAATGCAGCAGTTACAATTATTTAAAAAAAATCTCTTTTTACATTACCCCCCTATAATCCCCGAATTCTATATTTCTAAATCCCAAAATTACAAAAGATCACAACTCATACATAATTTAATTGTGCATTCAGTCGTTTGACTCAAGAACTGTTTTTTTTGTGTGTCTTACCTTCTCTCCTTTAGCTCCAGGAGCTCCAACAACAAACTAAAATGTAAACACATGCACAATTATTTTACTATGAATCAAAGTATTAAAACACAATTAATTATTTTAATTATTTAATTTCTTTTTTTCTTTTTTATTGATGTGTTTATTCAATTTCATTTTCTTTACTGGTTATATATATTGTTGTCTGTGAATGAAGAAGTGTTGTGCCATTTAGGTGCATAGAAGCCCATAACTGTATTACCCAATGTACTTCCAGTGGATTGCTTTTGGTTTTGACATTGGTTGACTTCATCATCTATAACCTTAAACAAATATGTCCTCACCCACTGATACTCAATGTTGTTGTGTTCCCACCCCTATCCGTCCATGTGTGGGAGCCCCAAATCTAACCCTGTATAAGCTGTTTGGCAGTCTTATTGAGACTTACAGCAGGAAAATGTCTTCTACACATGACCGTGTTATGGTCTTGCAATTCACTACTTAGCCCTGAGCACTGTATCCTGGCAGCTATGGGAGAGGGTCACCTTCTCCCCCATTTTCTGAAACACGGGGCATTTCCAAAAGCAGCAGGGGAGTGAGATTAGTTGAGATTCAGTGGCTGGGGAAGTGCTCTCAAAGGAAACCACTTTGCCACTGATTTTCAAATTGCTTATATAATGACATCTTAGCCCTGCCCTTGGCTTGGCCATATTTTGGTCGGCATCCTCAATTCTTTCATATTCTTTAGCTACTAATAAGCATTTGTTGTTTACTTATCTAAATGCAGAAAGGAGAGAAGCTTAGTTCCTCGCTAGCAAAGAAATAGTGTGTTGGCCAGTTGAAGACTTACCTCTCCTGGAACTCCAGCTTCTCCTGGCTCTCCTTTGCCTCCAGCAGGACCAGAAGGACCTGGAATACCCTAACAGATAAAACAACATTCATAGTGTAAAGACGGAGATGTATGCAGTGATCTGGTCAAACTGTGCGGATCAATCAATATGTAAGATCTAAATATTGTTGCTGAAGTCCTCTGATAAGATAGTTCATGATGGTTTTACATTATAAAAGAGAATCCATTATTGTTTTTGATTAATTGAATTTATTTATTAATGTTTACAAGCTCAGTAACTGACATCAGGGGCATAACTACAGCTCATGGGGCCTCCCTGGTGACCTCCCTACTATCATTAACCTTAACATAAAGTATGTCTAAATTATGGACAGATACCCCTTATAGACTAGATAGAGTCCGGACCAATGGCTGTGTCCATTACAAGCCAGACAATGGAGTTACCCTCTACAGAAGGATGCTCCAAAATATCAAAGGCACAAATATTAGACAAATCCAGATGCAATAGATTAACCTCCCTGATGTGGCTTTATGGGACAACTAGGATTCTCCGAGAGACATAAGAACATTTAGCCCACCAGTACCATTTTTGGATCGAGTTGGCTTCTCTTTCATCACACTGAAAACCTGAGATAAAGTCAAGAGTTGAAAACTTTGGTAGATACTGTACCATCTTCCCAGGAAGTCCAGGCTCCCCGTCTTTTCCTGGTAACCCATCTCTTCCAGGCAGCCCGTTCTTCCCCGGTTCACCCTGCACAAAACACACAGTGTGCCATTCATTCAGTTATGTTTAATAGAAAGTGGATTCATCATTGCAGAAACATATACAGTATATGACTTGTGAGGGCGATTGCCCCATAACTTACCACTAGCCCAGCAATTCCTGGAGGTCCTTGTGCGCCCTGGGGATAACAATAGATGAATAATAATAGGCCTGACCTATGCTCATACACAATACAGCTGAACAAAAATGTATTGTTGTGTATATGTTCTCACCACTTGTCCAGCAGGACCAGAAGGTCCCGGAGGTCCAGCAACCCCTTGTGGACCTGGTATCCCCTGAAAAACAATGTGCAATAGGTAAGATTTAGAAGAATTATCATTTTTGTAACTCTTACTAGTTGGGGAAACCATTTATATTTCATTGAAAGTTCCAGTTTCATTAAAACCTGATGAAGGCAATGCTAGACAAATCATTTTCTATTGCAATATAGTAAAAAAAAAAAAAAAGCCTTTCTATTTTAATCTGTAGCCAGATATGATTTTCCAGCTGCCAAAAATTAAAAGGTCCCTTACCCTACTCATAGTTACATAATTCAGGTCAAAATGAGAAAAAGACACATGTCTATCGAGTTCAACCCCTCTCCAAAATTGAGGAACCCTTGCCAAACATAAAAAGGGGGGGAAAATGGCATATTCACACTATGTGTTGCCATACTGCAAGATACACGGTATGTTGTGGTACCATTTATTTTGGATGGTATCAAAATGCACATAACCAACGTACCGGAATACAGTACATGTGATTTAGCGCACCATGTGAACCATCTGTGCCCATTAAATAAGGGCATAGTCGGGAAAATAAGCATTGTGGTGCGTGGAAAACCCATTCAAAATGCGCTGGCTTACCACAATGCATGTTCACACATCAACAAAATGTCAATGGGCCGTCATAGGTCCAATTTGCTCTATTTCCTTGACCCACATAGGCATGGAAGATGGAATGATATAAGAATAAAGTGCGGATGACAACATTCAAAGCATCAAAGTTGGCAATGCGCCCTTTCTTAAAGCAGATTGTAATAAAAGGAAACAATAGTAATGCCTGCACAACTCACCCGCACACTGGGACCAGGCTCTCCTGTACCGCCCTGTAAACACAATGATCATTAATTCATCAATATTAATTATTTTATTCAGAGAAAGAAGGGTTTACAGTTCTTTTTATTATTTGTATTGCCTAAAAAAGAGCTTCAGTAGAAGCCACTATGTTCCAACAGCTCCATATAACAAGCCCCAACTGCAAAAAATATCTTATTTATTGAAATTTTCTATCTATTCGTTAAATCTTTAACCCTAATGAAGGAGGTCCCTCTGTATTTCTAAATAGACATGTAAGCTGTGGAAAAATTCGGTTCAGTTTGGTTCAGATTTTACGTTATTTCAGGATTGGGGTCCGAAATTCAATTTGGTTCGGGGTTTCGGATTCGTCCGAAATCCTAATTATCGTTAGTTTCGGATGGAAACTAGTTTCCGAACGAATATTCATTGCGACTACCACAGAAAACCCATATACAGACTTTAATACTAAAGCTGAATCTCCTAGACCCAAATGGCATTTGGGAGTCCGAATTTCTGAACACAATTTGGGAGCTCCAGAAAGCAATACGGGTCTGAGAGCCATATACGTATACATACATGATATTAAAGCTGAGGCTTCCAGACCCGAATGGCATTCGAGATCTCCCGAATGCTATTCGGAAATTAGGACTCCATTCGGGTCTCGGAGCATCAGCTTTAGTATTTTATAGATATAATTAGTATTCTGTATTACGAATTCATATTTGTTGCGGCAACATTGGGAGCCATATATACATGAAAACTAAAGCTGAGGCTCCCAGAATTCGGGTTCAGACCCTTTCGGATGCATTAAACCGAAAAACACATCTCACTAGCCAGAAAAGTCACATGTCTAATTCAGTTTAGTTTTTAAAGGAAATTCAGACGGGATCCGAAATTCGGAAACGGAAATTCAGATTCAAGCACATTCGGATGCATTTGGATTCAGAAATACGGATGTAGGAGGGTCCTCTCCCATCTGGACCCTCTGGTAACTAGGGGGGACTTGGGCTGAGATGGGACTTGTTGGTACTGTGGGTCTAGCTTACTTAGTGTAGATCCCGCTACTGACCCGGAGCTTATACTGTGCCTCTGCCGGGATGCTACAGTGTTTATTTGTGGGTCCATTTATCTCTTGCCTATGGTACCTGTGATCCACACTATTTTGTGTTTCTATGTACTTGTTTTTTTTTACTGTATTGATTTTGTATGCACTTATGTTTGTTTGATTTTATTATTTTTGTTGATTTTTATTTTCTGTCTTGTGTTCAAAACAATAAAAACTTACCTGTTAAAAACAAGAAATTCAGATGTGTCAGAATTTCGCAAAATTTTTACACATTTTGATTCAGAATCGAAACGAATCGCACATGTCTACTTCTAAAACTAGATGGCTTTCCCTCAGAGCCTCAGAATAATAATAGAACATTTATGTGAAACTTTCTAGCACTTTCATCTTTTTTACTTCTAATCCCCGGCTGCTTAGTGACCGGCTATGTGCTGAGAGTCATCTCTGTCCATGACGTTGCTTACCTTTGGTCCAGCAGGTCCTGAGGGACCCTACAAAAGAACAAGGCAAGAATACAAATATTCATAATTACATATTTAAAAACCATGATATGTACATACAGATATACAGGATGGACATCTAGAAAATACTCACAGGGGGTCCTTGCTGACCTGGCTCTCCTGGGGTACCCTGCAAGAACATAACACACAATGAATATGTCCCATTGCTGCGTTGTAATCACAGATCGGTGATGGGTATTTATTAAGCCAGGAGCAGAGTCAACCAGTCATATCGGGAAATTTGCAAGAGAGGGTTCCCGGATTGTGGTATTGGTGCCCAATTTACACTGTTGCATTTTACAGTTTTAACAATTTGTGCTTAAAACTGAATAAAGTACAAGGATCAGATTTTGCTTTGCTGCAGCACGGCTCTGGACTAGAAGAGGAGTCTCTATGTCAAGTAATAGTACATGTCTTTTCCTCTGCACTGTCTCTCTGCTTCCTGGTTAATAACTCTCCATCTATTATTTCAGAGACAAGTCCTTTTTGTCCAAGTGTTTTTAGGGAAGGGCTCTCTTAGTATGTATTGTCCCACAGCAGCCAATCACACTTTGTCCTTTGTTGGAGCAATCCAATATCTCATCGGTTGCTGTAAGGCAATGCTGTCATAGACAGAGCTGCCCTCTGACACTGGGGGGCTCATTCAGTACAAGGAGCAAAGTGCTGGGTTCAAAGCGCATTACCCATAGCAACTATTCAGAATTCCTCTTGGACTGGTCAGGCTTCAGCATTTCTGATTGGTTACTATGGGTTACTACACTTTGCATTTATGCGTTTGTCTCCTTGGTCTAATTTAAAGTGTATCCAAAGCCAAAACGTTTGTCTTCACTTTGAATAGTGAAGGGGAGGACTAAAACCGCTGTCAGGTTTTTTTTGTTTTTTTTTTTGCCATTTGTGTCTCTTCTATACTTCCTGCCCTATAAACTGACCAGGAAGTGAGGAGATACCTTTCAAATGTACTCAGAAAATTGTCTACAGAACAAGTGTCCCTAATGGAAAATGTTCCCACTATATGCCTGTTCTGGTGGCTCAATCTTCTGTATTTATCCATCATTTGTATTCCCTGTGATCAGGACAAATAGAGAATCTTTAGAATGGGAACACACACAGCAATAAAAACCTGATATACATTTAGATACATTTAGATACATTTAAATACATTTAGATATATGTAAACTGCTTTTACTCAGCATACAACCAGATATCATACAGCCTTATATATATTTCTGACAGTGTTACATTGTAGCGACTATACAGCAACATTGACTGTATGTACAGTCGTTCAGTATACATAAATTGAAAACAGATACTTCTACTTGGTGTGTAAAGGTGCAATTAATTTTACTCCTAGTTCAGAGGCTTTAATGTTTGTCCTCATTAACAGAGAATATTTAACAGGGCTGGTTAAAGTGCCCCAACAAGATCCATACAACATGCACTGATTAGAACAGAGGGTCGGTAAAGAGTTAGTACCAGGGAACATGTTTAGGTTTAGGTAAACCTGTCATGAGAGATATATGGAGGCTACATAACAGCCAGGCAGCATGCATGTTTCAGAAGGAGAGGTCAGTAATTGCAGCTGCCATGTTTCTTTCATGACAGGTTCCCAGCGCATTGGCTCAGTGGGTAGCACTTCTTCAGAACTTCAAATCCAACTTTGGCCAGGACACTCCCTGCATGGAGTTTGCATGTACTTCCTATGCTTGGGAAGTTTCCCCCAGATTCCTCCCAAGACATGTATGTATGACCTTAGATTGTAAGCTCCTTGAGGGCAGGAGCTGATGTTAATGAATAGTATACAATTGACTGTGCTAATAATACATTGACAGATAAAGCATTGATAAAGCATTGTGGATGGAAGACCCTGGCTGACGGGTACCAATTTATTATAGTTCCATCTGTGAATTTTTTATGGAACCTGGAAAATCCTTCAATTCTTTGTTTTTCTTTTCAAAATTAACAAATACCTTTATACCATTACTTAAAATGAATTGCACCTTGTACCAAGATGTAATGAGACTCCAACCTTACCGTACAGTGCTTTGCCATATGCCATGCCCAGAACAAGCTCAACTTGCTTTACATTGCAGCCTTAAAATGTTTAGATTTAAGAGAACCTGTCTCGGCCTAAAATGTTTCTAAGGTAAAGACTGTACTGCAGTGCACCCGACTTGTACTGCATGAAAGTAAAGCATGTTAGCCTTCAAACTGAGGCCCCTCTACAGCCTCCTTGGCTCCTAGTCTCAGGTTGTACATGTGGCCTGGCAATCTGTCTATTTCAGATTAGGCCCTATCCCTCCCAGAGCTAAGCCCCATTGAAAGTCCAAATGCCTTTATTGGGCAGGCACTTGGGTTTCATGGTTGAACTTTGGGCTGGGGAGCTTGGGTGGAAGTCAGGGCCCTATGCACAGGGCCTAGGATCCAACAAGGCTCATCAGGGACACAAAGATCGACTCAACTACTAAAACAGGTACTTGCAAGCACCTGCACTATAGATCTGTATTACTTTAGTTCAGGTCATTACTTTAAGACCAGGTTATGTACAATTTGTACACTTCTTCAGCACATAAACAAAAATCTTCAATCAGCAGTCCTTCAGCAGGGACTAATCAATTAGATATTGATAAAAGTGTTATAATTTTTTTTAGCCCACATGCAATAAACCATATTACTGGCTCTTTGTTGCCGGGACAGTCGATATTTTCAACTATGCGGGTTTGTACACTAATCATACCGAAGAACCCGTACTGGTCATGCCCTGACTCTCAGCTTTTGCTATTTGTTGCCGTAAGGACCACATCTTCTGCAGTTCAACTACAATGGTGCACTTGTAAAAAAAAAAATGAATCACCTTTTCTAAGGAAGGAAAATTATCTTCCAATGATGAATTGCTATTTAGCATTGAAGCTGTAAAGCATAGTTGGGTCTTGCTGTAACAACTTTGTGTTCATGAAGTTCTCACAATGTAAAAGCAAACAAGCCACATGCAAACTGAGCACCTACCGGTCGTCCGAGAACTCCTGGGAAGCCCGGCATGCCCTGCGGATATATTTAATTAAAGCTAAATCATTAGTAGAAGCAAAGATGAGTTAACCACAACCCGGGTCAATCTTTACAAGTGACCGTGCAATGTTACAGACCAAATGTACCAGCCAGGTAATGCGCACAAAGCCAATGTGAGGGCTCCAACAACCGACTCAAACCAAAGGGCCAGACTACGGCCTGAAGGGTGAGGGTTTACTTACAGCTAGGCCAGGAAGCCCGCTTTTGCCATTCTCGCCCTATAATGAATGGAATGGATACACAACAGGAAGGAATCAAACAGGTCACAGTTGCTTTGAGGGCATCTAAACTTTCATTTCATTTTACTGTAACAATGGTGAACAATAAAGGATAAATGTATCAAATGTTTTCTGTCTATGTTTTAAGAAGGTGTTAGTGAGTCTGCTTTCAGAATTCCCCATGGTGTTAAAGAGGTTTTCTGTCTTACAAAACTAGCAACTAGTGTGCCGTTATTGTATAGAATTCTGTATTACTAGAAAAAGTCAGTGTTCAGAGTTCAGTAGTCTGGGTAATGTAACGTATAGTGCACCACTTTAGGGTATGTAGTGTATAGCAAAACATAAAGGCTGCAGTGGTCTACTGCATGTAGCAAACCAAAAAGCTTAAAATGATCTGTAGCATGTATGTACAACACAATGTACAGAGTGCAGCGGTCCAAGTATTGTAATATGCATGGTATATGGGATGCAGTGGTCTCTAGTATGTAAGGTACAGCACTCTGTACAGGGTGCAGAAATGCAGAGTATGTCATGTAAAGCATGGTGTACAAGATCCAGAGTATGTAATGTACAGCACATTGCACAAGCTACACAGAGTAGTGCTATGTAAAACTGTAGCCGCGGTATTTATCATCTTGCATGGGAGACAACTACAAAAAAAATAAGGTTAGTATGCCATTAATATCTTCACAAATGTTGCAGTAAATATAACTCAAGAGTCTGCAACGCCTAATACAATCTGACTCCAAATGCAGAGTCAAATGATTTGACTGAAATAGAGAGATGTGAGCAATTGCACCTAACGATCATTTGTTATCAGTCCTACTCAGTTCTAAAAATTGCCGTATTCATTAATTTACGGGATTTAGTTAACGTGTGTGTGTCTATATATATATATATATCTATATATATATAGATGCAGAGGCATATCTATGGTAAATAGTGCCTATGGAAAGACACACACATACACAGTACAGCTTTTGGGCTCAAGGTACAGGAATGCTTACACTACCCACTTCCTCTGCCTGGCTCTACATGACATTGCATGATGTCAACAGTCAGCACCCGGCATAGGAAATGAGTAGCGTAGCTTCCTTTCCCCAACTCTTTGTTTATATGTGCGTTGTCTGTCACTGCAGGTCTGGACTAATGGGACATCTGAATAGGGCACAACTTATCTAAAGGGGCAAAAAACGCAACTGTCCCAGAGTGTCCTAGAACCCCACCTAAAGTAAAGCCGAGGGCACGTGCCCTGCCTGCCATACCCTACATATGCCACTGTATAGATATAAAACAGTCCAGAAAACATCTGTGTACTGGAGATCCAAGAATAAATGACCAATTTTGCCTGGGTGGTGGATTATGATGAATCTTTTGACAATTGTCACTTCTATGGGCTTCCTAATTTTCTTGTGCTGGTTATTAACCAGCAGGTGGAATCCTGCTTCCAGATAGTGAATTGATCCTCTTATTTCCATTATATGATCCATGACTGAATGAGTGATGTAAGCAGAGTAGTTATTTATACATAGTAAGTATTTGCTAGATACATTTTTGCTCATTTGTTTGTCCATGGAGTGTTCGTATCAATTCTTCTATTAGCCTGTTGACTCTCTAATGGGTGTTTTGCAGATACCTAAAGGTCCTGATAAAAAATTAATAAAAACTGATAACTGGGAGTGTGAGAGATGTGGTGAGTATACATTTTGACTATCTTTGCTCTTTTTTACCTTTGTGGATTTTGTGTGAAGGTTTGTAGGTAATGGTTCATGTTTCGGGTATTTAAATTGGACCCAAGCAAGAACTGGTCATGGTGGAAACAATTTTTGGACTGAAATAGGCCTTACTGAGAATTTCACTTTTTGGAAGGGATAATGGGAATAGTGGAAGTAATAGGAAGAAATTGTTTAAATTGGGTTGATGAAAGAGGAAACTATTTTCTGGTATTGGTGTGCTGGTGGAAAGTCAAATACGCTGATCTTGAATCGATAAAGAAAACTGTGACATCACATACCGGTTTTCCTTCGGGCCCTGCCAACCCTCTCTCTCCGGTGGCACCCTAGAAGAAGAATGCCATAAAGTTAGTCTGCCATAGGTAATACATATCTGTGAACACATATAATGGTTATCTATAACTTAAATCTACTTTGGTAAATCTTTATCATCCTCTAACTCTTGAGGGTCATTGTTTCTTCTTCAACCTGGTCTCCTAGTGAACATTACCACACCCCCTACAAGCAACCCCAAGTGGGCTCCCTACTGAAGGCCACCAAGGAACCTCCCCTGCCTATAAGTTTGCATAGCAGGCACTCCCTATGAAATCTTGACTACAATTTTCAGCTGGTGTGCATATACTGAGAAGTTTTATATTCTGGGAGAGGTTCATTAAGGCACTTTGTTCATACTTGCATTTAAAGTGAATCTGTGTTTTGGCAATGCAGATCAAAGCAACAGGTTCACTTTAATGCAGACCTTTCCAGTAGCACTTACTGACCCTTTGCTCCCCTGATACTCCATTCAGCAAGAAAAGGAAGCCCGGTGTCATCCCAGTCAGATCTCAAATGACTGAAGACTATCTACACATTTCCAAGTTATAGCACTGGACCACTCATCAAGCTCCAGCTGGGGCAAGGGCTCCTAGCACCAAGGCAAAAGTGCCCCCCTTCCCTAATGTACTGTGAACTACTTCAGCAGCAAAGGTTGCAGGTGGCCCAAGGGTACCGACTCTTCTGCCTATCCCTGGGCCTGGCCCTTCTGTCACATGACATTAAGGGAAGTGAGTCACATGTTCACCATGCCCAAAGGTTTTCAAACTGTAGGCATCATTAAACCATGCTATGAAATGCTTACCGGCTGCCCGTCTCTGCCCTTATCTCCAGGGTCACCTTTGTCTCCTTTTGGCCCACCAGCTCCCTAGAAAAAAATTAAAACAGAAGCAAGGTTGGTTTTGTTTCCCAAAATTGGTTCCAAAAGAGGGAACAGAACCAATCGAAAGAGAAGATAAAGGGATATGTAATGGATAGGTTTAATGTAGATGTTTTATTATTGTTATTATTAATAATAATAATAATTTTTTTTTCTTAGTAATTCCAGAAAAAGAGAACTCTTAGAAGAAGCATATTTGTAGTCCTTGAATCCCTCACCATCTCTGTAGGCAATCGCAACTCTGCCTCCTCATACATGCCGGCCTGTGACTGGACTCTGAGGCTGCACCTCACTACATGAAATATGACAATGTTTCAGCTGCAGATACTGGAAACTACCTTTGTTCCTTACTTTCAGAAGCCAGGCACTGCAATACTATAGTTATCCTGATCTGACATTTTTCTTCAGGTGCAGTTAATAATGTGAACTGGATAAAAAATGGATTTTGGGTTATCACCAGTGATAACTTTATAAACAGCATGCCATTTGCATGGCACTAGCCCCCCTAGATGGCAAAGACGAATATAGGAATTTTCTGTACTTGTCAGCACCATCTAGGAGCACTAGTACAGTGCGGATGGCATCCACCCGGCTATGAGCTGGGCAGAACTTTTATAAATGAAGCCCTTAGTATTTTTTGGCAGTGAAAATACATCAAGAGTCAGGAAATCCAAACTCTGATCCTCCTCTTCAGAAGATATCACTTGACAAAATGCCTGGGCTATTTGTTCACATGACAGACACAAAAGTGATGGAGAAGTAGAATTTTCTTAAGGAAAGGTGAATGTTTAAGTCTTTCCATTACTCTTTATTTATCCATCCCAGAAAGAGGTAGATTTAGGCCCTTGTCACTGTTCTAATTATGGCCCTGGTGAGACCTCACCAGGGACAGGATGACTGGAATGTGCAAGGGGATACTTCTTGCTTGTATGTTTGGCTCCTTCGCTGGCTGGATCAGAGTGGCGTTGCTCTCTCACTGCCGAAAATGCTGTATGGTTGAAGTTGCCATCAAGAAAGCGACGTTTTTTTCATCCATCGGGCAAGAGAGCAACACATGGAAGTACTGCCCTGCTGAGTCCTCCATAGCAATCCTACCCCGGGCGAGTTCCCAACAGTTACAGAATCGCAAGGGTGATATTAGCCTAATATAGACAATGAAAAAAATAATGTAGCCAGTTCTACATGTACAGTAGCCCCTGTGGGGGAAGATTTAAGCTGAACTCCAGAATAAGTAAATATTGTCTAAATACAAGATGTGTGTTCTTCCTTGAATCTTGGTGAGGTTTGTGTATTTCTTCTAGATCTGTGCAGTAATCCAGTTTGATACTTGGAGCCTCCTGTAATAAAGACCGCTCACTGCTGCTCTCTCTCCTTGTGCAGGGTGACTGGTCTTGTCTCTGCCCCCTCCTGTTTCCTGCAGTGGGTGGGGTCTGCTGGGTCCATCCCACAGCTTTGCTCTCTGCACAGGCTATGTACAGCACACTGATGATGTCAATGCTAATTTTCAAGGTAATATTTGGGTTTGCAAAGGCATATGGTGCACACAAAGTGGATTTATATCCCTTGTGGCTGTTGAGGAATATATTTTATTGAACGTTTTTGTGCCCAGAGTTCAACTTCATGGGCAAGAGAAAAGTAAGGAGTCAAAGTCAACTCAGTCAACGCAGTTGGTAGAGGACCTCTCTGCAGACTTACTACTACAACCAGACCTTATCGCCTTTGGGTCCTCTCCCTCCATCTTCTCCTGGGTCTCCCTGTCAACAGAAAAACACAGAACATGTTACTGATTGCCCACTCTCTATATGATTATAAAGCTATTATGTTCCATTCTTGTATATGCTAATGCTGAAAAGTGACATTTTATTTTATGACAAGTGTACTGACCACGCTCCCTTTCGGTCCCGGCAATCCTCTTTCTCCAGGAAGTCCAGTGGCAATCATTTCTATAACTTCCCCCTAATGGAAGAAGAAGATACAATGTGAATACCTTCATTGTGATAAACAATGTGACAAAACCAAAAAACTCCTAAAACATATGGCGCACAAACGACTGATATTACAAGCTGGATACTGTGTATTCCCAAAGTCAAAACATGTTGTAAACACACACGGGCTCCTCCAACTCTCAGAGTTGGAGGAGCCTGTGTGTGTTTACAGCATGTTTTGACTTCGGGAATAAACAGTATCCAGGTTGTGAAATCAGTCATTTGTGCCCCAATTGTTTCTGTGAGAACCAGTATCAAGCTGCAGTGAGCCCCTTTTTTTGGCTGCACGACAAGAGGGATGGGGCTGTGTGACCTTACTTACCTTGGGGCCTTGAGGTCCAATCGGTCCCCGCTGACCATCTTTACCCTACAAAAAAGAAATACGTATTTCACAAGTCATAGCACATATCAAATACGATTATCATTAGAGTTAAGATAGACTTTTGAATGCAATGTTCACTTATTTTTCAGAGTTCAGTTCAAAGTTCAGAAATAGAAAGAAAGCTATCGGAACAGAGACATGACCATAGATTTCCAACCCTCATAGAAAACATCGACCACAAACATTCTGAATAAACTGACAAGATATGGTCAACACTTGATCATTTAAAGGGAATTATCAGATCTACCATTGCAGAGGTGTTTCAGGATTTGCATATGGAGGTCCTGACAGAGTCTAAATTGTTCAATTATAGCCCATTTAATATTAGGTTTGCAGTCTCCTACATAACGCTTTATATTTCGGTTACATTTTTCTTTATCCACGGATACAAAGAGATAATATGATAATTAGCGTGTAACTTACATTCTCTCCGTGTTCCCCCTTTTCTCCTCTTGTTCCCTGAAACGTAAACACATATGTAAGAGATGGGAGAACTGATGTTTTAATGGTAAGTTCAATTATTGGACAATTTGAAGACAATTATGAAGTCAAAGTCAATAGCTAACAATCATATCGCTATCAATGAAATTAAATCGCTATCAATAGCTAACAGATACAGTAACAATAATCAATGCGACTGTCATGGGGCTTTGTCATCTTTTAAATTTGGTTGTTTACCTTATCTCCTGGTTTTCCTTGCTCTCCTGGTTCTCCTGCTCTACCGGGTACTCCTGGGATTCCAGGTTTTCCAGAGTCTCCTGGTGGCCCTGGAGGACCTTCTGGGCCTCTTTCTCCAATAGCTCGCCCAGTTGGGCCCTGGGGTCCTGTTTCGCCTTGGTCACCCTTGTCTCCCTTTTGGCCTCTCTCTCCAGGAAATCCAATTGTGCCCTAGGACAATAAAGACATTTATCACCCATACACTACACTCATCACTCATGTCATCACGAAGGGCACAAGCAAAAAGACCACTATCCTTTGTTAGCCATGGTCTGCCTTAAACCTGAACCTCAAGCAAACAGGTAAATGGATGATTGAAATGCATATTTGACAAGAGTGGTTTTTCAACATAGAGATAATACTTCTAAATTCTATGATATATGGACGAGATGGTTACACAGATCGGTACTATCTACCTCCAGTGGCAGATGAGGCGGGCGATAGATCTGTAGCTGGTGTGTAATAGATGGGGATTGTATTTCTGATGATACGATATTATATAGGAGGAGGTATATGGGCTTCTTGTAGACATTACATTTGGTCTATAGGCAGAGGATAATGATGTCATGTAGGGGTGACAGGATGCCCCGGTGGGGGAGCAGTGACCTGAGAGGGGCTATGCTGTAGGCTTCAGGACCTTCTATTGTTTTTCTGTATGTGTGTGTCGTTTTCTCTTTTAAATGCATATTTGCTCTCGATACCTTGTTTATTTGTTGCATTGCATGCTGAAGGCAATGTGTTCTTGTAATATGTTTAAAAATCTTAATAAAAAATACATGATTAAAAAAAAAAGAAATGCATATATGACAGCTGCTTTACCTGTATTTCTGTCTTCGATGTAGTAACGAATACAGAGGTGCATTCATTGGTGTCTTTTATATCTGCCTGGAGTTCAATTTTAAGAGGTTATTCCCCTTGATGATGAAATGACAAGCCCCTTTGGCCTCTTAGCAGTGACAGTATCAGACCAAGGAACCCCCTCATTGTTCCTCACTGGTGATACACAAGCCCTTACAATGGAAAGCTACATCAGTTACAGGTTTCTATTTAAACTGAGAAGGATCAAATCCAAATGGACAGAGAGGGGATGAACATTTGAGATATTATATCCTCACTTTCACAATGCAGATCCAACTCTGACACTATTCCATGTACGAAGCATTGTAGGACACTTCATAGCTACCACTGACCCAGCACTGCTTAATGGCACAGCTAGGTCCTGACCCAGGAACTCCACCTTCTTGATGCACACAGATCCTCAAACATTGTCTTTCTCATAGTAAATGTAGCAGGATCTCTGGATACATACATCTCTACCAGGTGCTCCTTTATCTCCAGCCTCTCCTGGCTCTCCTTTCATTCTCCGCTGGCCAGTAGCTCCAGAGCCATCCTCATACAACTCAGAGACATCTTTCAGGGCAGAAATCTGTGAAAAATGAACAAGAGTTTAAGGAAGGGACAGTCAGTAAATGCCCCATCTGGCTGATGACGAGCTTGTGGGGCTTAAGAGATGGAAATAGTTGCAAACACACACACGAAGTAATAAAAATAAAATGACAGAACTGCAGATAGAACATTCATAGTCTATGTACCCAGCAACTGTAGGAAATACTTAAAGGCTAAAAAAATCTGCAAATTTTGTTAGTTTTTGGAACTTTAATGGAGCCAGTAAATGATAGCAACTGTTATTAGTGGACCTCAGGGTGCAATGCTCTGGCAGATTTACCTCCCATTCCTAACCATACTCAGGTACAGACATTCAGTAACATGGTTGGGAGGAAAAATGAATCCACTTGTGGTTTCACCATTCACAGATCCTGTCAAAGCATCTGTGAATGGATGACATGACTACATGGCAGAGCCTAATAATATAGAGCCATTTGTTTCCAAACTTGGAGGGCTTTTTGATACCTTTAGTCCCATCTCACCAAAATCTGGGTTGGTACATTGTCTTGTTGACTTCTAAACCCTACTCCATAGAAGCCATGGTTTCCATATACTGCACTGATGATGGACAACTAGTATGCAGATTGGAATAAATGGCTCTATAACATTAGGATATCTTGGTACTATACACCAGCAGTTCCGGATGTGCATTTGGCTGAAGGGGTATAAAGGAATGATTTGCAAGGCTCCGCCCACTGTGATGACATGAGGAATAATCCTCTTATTTTTGGGATATGTGATGGAATGAGACATGTGAATATCTTCTGTTCTAAGAAGGCTTTACTGTGCTATACAATGAATCGGTTGGAGGACTTCTTGATTCCTTTAGTCCTTTCTCACCATAACCTGTATAGTAATCCTGTCTCATAATTTTGCTCTGATATACATTTTAGTAAAATGGCCTCCAGCATATCAACATCCTCTATGTGGCCTTCAACAGTGTGGTGTCAGATTAGAAATACTACTGGGATTCTCAACGCTGGTGATAAGCTCTCAATGTGGGATACTGTTTTTTTTTTCTGGGTTCTGATTTCTTTTTTGAGGAATTCTGATTCCTTCTGAAATCCTCAAAATGTAAAAAATATGGCACAGAATAGTTTTTTATTTTATTTACCTTGATTCCTAAGAGGCCAAGTGATTTCTCCACATTCTGGAAAAAAAAACAACAAAAAAACAGGTTATCAGAAATCGTCAATGAATGAACATTGTATCTACAGTTTATAGTGTAATCTATAGTGACATGGCTACTATGATATTAGTAGGGGAGTGTCTGATTACTGTCTGTGCTGGCCTAGCTCATCTGCCCCACCCTTCACCTCCCTATTGTTATGTAGCTGCTAGGGTGGGACTGCAGGGCAATACTATAGAGTGTCCATTAAATAACCGCTCTGAGTCTGTTGGGACTGCTGACCTCACACCCAAGATGGCGTCGCACAGCAGAAGTCTCAGGGCATTTGGATGTATTTTATTGGTAAATAACATACATAAACTGCATCAAATGCTTATTTTTATGGGAAGATTTTTGTTAAAATGAATGATCTGGAGAGAGGTTCTCTTTAAAACAGACCAAGGAAAGATAACAAACAAACCTGGGCATTTGGTTTACAACATCAGCTCTAGATTTAGCCACGGTGCTGTAAAAGTCCTTGCTTGGACTTTAATACTTACTGCGGCGCTTCCAGGTTCACCCTTCAGTCCAAATTCACCAGGTCTCCCCTGTTCAGAAAAGAGTAACACAGGTTTGTGAATGTGCCTTCAGAGCAGTCTGCCATTAAAGTATAACCACATGTACAAAGCCTAATGAGACAGCCAATCGAAAGGTCTGAGAGTTCAAAAACTTTTATTATTGATATAGTTTCACAATAGGAGGACAACACAGAACAGCCTAGGAATAAGCTGGGAAGCCAAGAGTGTTCTTGAGAATTTCCCTTCTGACATCCACCCAAATTTAAAAGTTACATTTTGGAATGAGACTCTGATTGAGATGGGTTGGATTGAGATTCTGATACATGGACACTTAGATAAATATGTTAATGTAAATTTCCAGCATCTCTTTGTGTCACAAATACTGTTGGAAAATCTCTAGAATTAAAGAAGTATCCCGAGTCAAACCAAAGGACTTTAATATCAATTTATGCCATGCGTTGATTATATTAAGCTGCATAGGAAATGACGTACATACCTGTTCACCTCTAGGCCCCATCTCTCCACGGTCTCCCTAGAAAATAAATAATATAATTTAAAATAATAAATGACTTGTACAAAGTGAAAAAATCTAGTTGTAACACTCACACCTGAACCACATGGCCAAAAGTTTGTGGACACCTGACCATCATACCTACATGAGCATCTTGGACATCCCATTCTGAAACCATGGCATTAATATAGAGTTGCTTAATATAGAGTTGCTATAATAGCCTCCAATTTTTGGGAAGGCTTTCTTCTAGATTTTGGAGGGTGTCTATGGGAAATTTTGCCCATTCAACCAAAAGAGCATTTGTGAGGTCAGGAAGTAATGTTGGATGAGAAGACCTGACTCACCAACAGCATTCCAATTCATCCCAAAGGTGTTCAGTAAGGTTGAGGTCAGGGCTCTGTACAGGACACTCAAGGTCCTCCACATCGAACTCAACAAACCATGACTTTATGAAGCTGGCTTTGTGCAGGGGAAAGTCATGTTGGAACAGAAAACGGCCTTTACCAAGAGGACCTTCAGACCATAAGGTTGGAAGCGCACAATTGTCTAAAATGTCTTTGTATGTTGTAGCATTAACAGTACCCTTCAATAGAGACACCTGAACACAGTCAAACGGAGAGGTGACCACATATGGTACATAAAGTGATCCTTTTTTTCCTCAGCCTCTGTTTTGTTTTGTTTTTTTGTAAGTAATGTAATGATATTGCAAAACAACAATAAATGTATAAGGTCTTCTTATGAGGGCCGATGCAGTCCCAGGATCGCTCAGTCGTGCACAATTGCAGAGAGCGGCCCCATTTATTTCAATGGGGGACATCCACGCGGCAATCGCAAAAAAAGGGTACATGTACCTTTTTCTTGCAATACTGGACACGTGGCTGTTTAGGCCTCGATCGTGTTTGGTTGCAGGGGCGGAATCACGGCGGGAAAACGCGCCATCCACCTGGGGCGACTGGGGTTCCATTAGAATATAATGGCACTACAGCATTATTGTCAGTGATGGGCGACTCTGTGACCGCACGGTATCATGCACAATTGCCACGCGGTCAAGGATCGCCCAGGTGTGAATCTGGCCTAAAGGTTCTTATACGGTTGTTTCAGTTCTAAGTTTTTGGCAGTGCATGATATCTACAATACAGATTACAAATGGCTTGAACTTACAGTGGATGAAGCATACCTTAGATCCTGGGATCCCAGCTATCCCTGGAATTCCCTATGAAAAGAAAAAAAGTTACTGGCAAATGTAAACAGAGAACAGTTTCAATTGTTTCATTTTCAATGTGTTGCAGCAGTTGTTTTAGATGTTAGTGTCTGAAGAGTTTGAAGCTTCCCTTCAGTCTTGCATAGTCGTGGAGGATCCTTTCCTGGACTGAAACTTTTATTCACTAGATTTCAGTTCTTTCAATCATGGAGGCTCAGCATCACATGTGGCCAATACCTAGGGAAGTCTGCATGGAAAGACAGCCTGTCTAGGAATGGCCACCTCCTCCAGACTGACACTTGCCCATAAAAATAATTTTGATATTTACTTAACTTCTTCCAAGTGCCATCCCACTGCTTGCATCAGGGTTATGGGCTCTTCAGAGAAGCACTAAGGCAGGGTGCATTGATGTATTTAGGAAGCTACGTGCAGCACCTGCCGACCCCTCCCATCAACCATGGATTACACAGTATACAGTAGCACAGACAGAGAAGAAGACCTCACCTGTCCTGGAGGACCAATTGGCCCTGGCTGTCCGGGAATGCCTGGTGGCCCAGGGGGGCCTGTTAGCCCAGAGTCTCCTAGAGCACCTTTGGATCCATCACGACCCTGGTGGAGAAAAGAGTACGTTTAACAATCCTTCAATAGGATCTTACCCAGCCCACTGAGCGGCAGTGGTCACACACTAAAGTATCTAAAGCCCTCGTTTCGAGTGTTGCCTGATGGAGAGAATTGCAAATAACACTTATATAGGTATCCAGTTTACAGCCTCTGTTTTCAAAGGGAACCTTTAGTATTTTAAAAAAAAAAACTGAACTAGGGCCACCAAAATTAACAAACCAATATTGACCCAACCGCCATCCCTAAGAAATCTCTATCTCATTTTCCAAAAATAAAAGTTCTGACATACTAGTACTTACCTTATTTCGTGGTCCCACCTCAGCTGGCATCTTAGTCCTATGATCTTCAGTGCTGCAATGTGGTTGGGTACTTTTAGCAGCGACCACAACATCCCATCCTGGTGGCAAGGTTTAGGAGCAATGATGTAGACTGAAGGAATAACCCCGACCATTGGACGATATTGTTGTTGCTCACAGAGATTTACCAAATTGCTGGAAACCTGCACTACAACCTGTCCAATCTTTCCCTTTTATCAATGAGACGAGAGTAGCACAGTGTTATCCGTGACTGTGCAGTTTGATTCTGTCAGGTGAGTCACATAAGAAACAGCAGTGCTAAAGTCTACTGGCAGATGTGTCCTGAACCATTGCCCCTGCAGAGACATCTGCCCATCACTGGTGAACATTATCTTACAATCGATTTGATATCAACAGCCATTCAGCAATGGTGCAAATTTCCCTTTCTGACAGGCACATAAGAGAGAATCCTAACATCAGTAGATGAATACAACCCTAAAAAATGGAATAGCAAAAAGGCAACAAAAATGAAAATATTTACACAATATAGTTCAAGTTTGAGTTGTAGTAGATGGGAATAAATTAATTGCAACTTACATCTCTGCCAGAAGGCCCCGATTCACCTTTGTCACCCTGCGGCCAAGAAAGAAAAATTAATTAGTATTTGGCATGTGTTACTTCATTTAACGTGAACATGTTGCTGCATTACCCTGATTAGGTAACCGGGCAAAGAGCCATGGAACCAAATTTACAATAGCCAGATGATAACTGATATTCAAAACAACTTGATATCATTCTTTCCTTAAAATATACAAAAGGGAATTTATCAAAACCGGAGGAGACAAAATCTGGAGCTGTGTATGCCAACCAATCAGCCTCTCCTTTTCATTTTCAAATCTTAACTGAACAAACTGAAGAGAGAAGCTGATTGGTTGCCATGCACAACTGCTCCAGATTTTATCTGCTCCAGTTTTGATAAATTCCCCCCACAGTATTTAAAGACAAAACATTTTTCTTGAGTTTTGGATAGAGTATTTGTGTTGCTCTGTCCCAGTGGGGTAATGTCCCTTCACCTCCTGTTCCATAGATGTTACTGGAACAAGCGTACCCATTGGAAGATTTCCCATCAAGCTGTGTCCCAATGGCAATGCTGTTGACAGTGTGTATACGTCTCTGCAGGAATGCAAAAGTCCAAAAAATGTATACTGGAGGTGATGGATGTGACTTATAGAAGAACTCTGGGCATTTTAAAAATGAACCCTTACTGTGGGGCTACCCCCGCACTGCAAGGGTTAAGTGTTCATTTTGTCTAGGGGCTAAAATGAAAAAGATATACTCACCCAATCCTTGGTCCCGCCTGGCTAGACCATTCTCCTCAGTCTCTTCTTCCCTGGGCTCTAGCAGTCTAAGGACCCCTGATGTCATCACGTCTAAGACAGTCTATTGACTTCCATTAGATGTGAGGACACATAGGGATAGTTAACAGCTGGAGTGGTGGGGGAGAGAGGTGAGCACTCACCACTGCAGGATTGAGGATTGGGTTACTAGACCAAAACGAGCACTTACCCCTTGCAGTAAGAGGAAGGGGGGGTAGGGTAACGCTACCACAAGGGTTGATCTTTAAAATGGCCGGAGTTTTTCTTTAACAGTAGTTCATGGCCGAAAAAAGTAAATTGAGTTCAAATGGAGTGCAGTAACTCTGGTGAACCTACTATCAACAAATACAGGGCGATCCGAAGTTTAAAATCCATGTGCAAAAAGTCTAATGAAACCATCAGACGAAAGATCTAAGGGCCCAAAATCATTTACAATGAGTTTTTGCTTTTAAGAAGAAAACATAAAACAGCCAACGTGTTTTAGGAGTTCAGACCTCATCAGGTCTACAATACAAAACAATACATACAAGTAAAAAATACAATACATATCATAAAAAAACATTAAATACTGTATGTCATTGGTGGTATCTAATCAAATGGTAAAAAATGTAAATATATGCAATTAAATTAAAACAAATTGATCACCGTCTGCTAAAAACTGCTCGTTTGAAGTGTTTTTACAGACTTTGATTATTTATTTTAATTTATGGATATTTTATTCGTTTTTGTAACCATTGATTAGAAATGACTAGACCTTTTTTATATATATTTTTTTTAATGTAGTGCCGTGTCTATTTTGTATTATTTTTATTGTTTTGTATTGTAGCCCTGATGAGGAAATAAAGAATCTGAGGTTCTATGACTTCCATGCTTTAGAAAACCTAAAAAAAAGTTTTGGGTTTAAATAGACTTTAATCCCCACATGCTTGGTTGCCAAAACTCTTGGCTCAAACTTTAGACTGCGTATGGTGACATGAACGAAACAAAATTATATTTTGGCTACCTTCCTTCCGTCTTCTCCAGGAGTTCCTTCTTCTCCCTGAAATTTAAAACAAATAATATGAACTCGGATTTATGACGCGATGATGTGGAAAATAGCAAGTAAAAGTAAGTCACATTCACCTGGACTTCTTTCATCTTGAAGTCATTTCACAACTCACCTAAGTGTCTCCGCCATTTCTAATGAGTGTCACTCTTATGAACTGAGAAAGCCACTTGGAGGATGTTGAAACGCATTCAACATTACAAAACAAGTCCAGGTAAATGTGAGGGGTGGGCAGAGAACAAGAATTGTCAAAATACAAGTCGAAATCGGTAACCAGAGAAAGGGTTACCAGGTTGCAGCCCCTGGACACCCCTGTGTAGATGGCTTCTGAGCGATGATGGAACCAGTGCATGGTACAAAGTCGACAGGCAATGAAATAAGGACAGTTAAAAGATCAGGGTGGGCAGCAACAGCAACAAGCATTGCCAAAATGCACGTTGAAGTTGGTAACCAGAGAAAAGGGGAATGCAGGATTACTGAAACTAACATGGATTGGAGCCTTGGGCTAGGAAATGAACGTATTGCTCATGCAATGGGGGTCTGTTTGAGAACAGCTAAATAGTGAGACTGATTGGTAGGTTGGGTGGGGACTGGTCATGTAGCTGCTATATCAGTCAGCAGGTGGTATCTGGTAATGCCTATTCCTCCCGGAATTGTGCAGCAACAAGGCAGGTTGGTAAAACCAAGATACTCTCTGTCACTTGTACACAACAACAATAGCGATAGCTTGAGTATAATATTAATAATGAGACACTAACTGTATGTTTTTTAACAAGCTATAGAGGAGATTACTCACATTTTTACCATTCAGACCAGGTTTGCCATCTTCTCCAGGTTTCCCCTTGTTAAAAAAAATGACAAATACACATTTAAATACATTATCTACTTTTGAAACAAAGTCCTGAAAACGTTCTGATTCCTATGTTTACAGCAGCATTTGCCTCGCTGATACATAATACAGTATATGTGGAGGATGCAGTTGAGTTAAAAAAAATCTCCAGGGATTGTAATCAGCAATGTACGCAGTTCAGGAACTGATTGCAATCAATCTGCATTATTCAATGTCTGCTCTCAATGACCCAAAATTGCATCTGGTTGGTTACAGTCAGCTAATGCACTTAGCACATTGTCACTGCACTATGTATGACCTCTTTTATGTCATTAGAGTGTATAATTCCGCATTCTATCTAAAAATATGAACCATTCGAAGATTCCTCCCAGCTAATGCAGACCATATCTAAAAACCTATACAGCAGAAAACCAAAAGCATGCAGGTAAGATTATAGACATTCACTGCTTACCGCTACCCCTGGGGGGCCTACTGGACCAATCGGTCCTGGCGGTCCTTGATCTCCTCGAAGTCCTGGAAGTCCCTGAAAAAGGAAAAAAGGAAAAATTAGCCAAATGCCAAGACACAGGGTCAGATTTCATGTAAAATTTTAGCTTGATATGGGTACCCCCCTTGCTAAGCACAGTATGAAGAATCCATGATAATTAGTTTTACTGGTGCTAGATGCAGCACGAGTGAGAGGATTATATGTCCTTTTCTAACTTGCTTGAAAATCTCTGGGTGATAGTGAGCACTTCCGCTGCTAACACCCACATGACCTGATTATGACAAGAGATAGTTGAACCTGTTGCTTTTGCTTGAGGTGTATGGGCTCCCTGTGACCCCACAGGCCATTTTTGGTGCGCCGTTAATTGCACCTTTTGTAAAATAAAAACATGTAATAAAAATGTGATGAAATATAAACACTAAATAGCTCTCGGCAAAGCCAAAAATCAGCATTTGTAATGTTATCAATATTTGTTTTGCCCTTCTTTTCATGTAGAGCGGAAGTTTGCCTTTGACTTGTATGTGCCCATCCATTTTGAAGTTGGCAACTGCTCAGATAGGTCAGGCCGGTGGCACCATGAAAAAACGCATATTCCCTCTCTTCTGCTGCCATCGGTGCTCTGCCAGTAATTGAGGTCTGGACCCCACTAAGTAACATTACTGGGTATGAGACATCTGGAAATAAATAATGCTTCCAAGCACTGATGTCCTGTGGTAAAGCTGGGCCTTTTAGTCCCCTTTCCATGTCACATCAGAGGCAGCCCTCCTCCTAAACTAACTATTTGTGTTGGTAGTTTGTCCATTCGTGTTGCACCTTGATTCACAGTGAAATACTTACATCTCTCCCAGGCTCCCCTTGTTTTCCTAGGTCACCCTACAAGGAATTGCAAAGCAGGCAATTAAAAGCCAGAAGTGACAACATTTTATATTGCTTTTCAGGGACACTGTAAGTCTTTGCATCTTATTGTTTACAGTCCTATACGCCTGAGTAAGTATGTTTATTAAAAATAAATAAATGAATAAATAATACAAAAAATTATATATTTTCTCAATGTAAATACAAATCTATAAAATGTCTTGCCAAAATAGATGCTACATTTCGTGGAATCACTGCTTGGACACACTGTATTGCTTTCAGTAGTATTGCTCTCAGTAGTGGCATATACTGTATTGTTCTGCATTGTTTCCCAGTTTGTGAATGTGAGTTGGAGGGAGGGAGGGCTGGGGCTGTCGTGTGCCTGTAATTGCAGTACCTCCTGCCTGGCTGACTTCCCTGGGGGCTCTGCCTCACCCTGAGGTTTTGGGCCACGTTCCAGCCACGCTGCCACAGTATAAATGAAAAGAAAGGATAATAAGAAAAACCTGATAACTACCTTTAGTCAAACATAGTTCAGTTTACATAGAAATTAAAAGAAAAAGGTTGGAGGGAGGGAACTACATACTTCAATTTCTTTGGCATGTATGCCTCCAGGCTACATATATGGACAAGGGCTGAGAAAGAAAAGAACTGTTTGAAAAGGCAAACCACTCAGTCCATTAAGCAAAAGGAATGTGTGTCTACCAAGAAGCCAGCAAGTGTCTCACTCTTATAATACGAGGGGCTATGCCTGTCACATCACTGCCAACACACTAAACAAACAGAGACTGTGTACAACAGAAAAGGAATAAGCTCTCTGGAGACACATAGATATCACAGAAACTATAGACAGGGATTCCCCTATATACTACACACTATCTTACAATGTGACAGTACATAAAAACATAACTGTATCAGAACAAAGAGAATCCATTGAACTGAAGGTTCTTCAGGGGAAACAGCAAAAAAAGTATATATATAGATAGATAGATAGATAGATATATATATATATATATATATATATATATATATATATATATATATATATATATACACACAGTCACAGTATATATATATATATAACCCAGATGGCATTAGTATATATATTGGTAGATATAAGAATGTAACCAGCCATTGTGTTTCCAAAGAGGAAAAAGTAAGTACCTACATAAAGAATAGAAGAATAGTTACTAAATAAATAAAATGAGATACTTCTACCTGAAGCGTATTTGGTTATACATACTACACTAGGATCACAGAAGAATGAAAAACAAAATTAAGATATGTAAGCAATCCACTTAACCCTGCCCCACTTTATTGGTATGTGGGCAAACCCCACCCATTCTGTTAAGCCCTACCCTTCAGGCTATGAACTCCCAAAAATAGGTTGGGAGGTACAGGATTCTTTCACTCACTCTTAGTCCCGCAGGTCCTGGCTGTCCAGGCTTCCCATCGAGTCCATTTCTTCCGTCACCTCCTGGAGGTCCACGGTCTCCCTTAAAAAAAAAATACAAAAAAGAGGTTCTTACTGCTTAATCAAAGGACCAGGGTGGCCAGAGGTCATCTGTTGCTGCTGGTGAACGTTGCTCATAGCCTCAGCTAATGCACTTCATGCCACTGGGAATCTGGATGTTTTCAGCACAGGATCCGGTGGAATGAAGGACACCAGCATGGGCAGGGCTTGTCTTCCAAACCAAGACTACAAAACACCCCATGTCAAATGTAAATTATTTTTAAAAATCATCACACTTAATTCTCGTGATCCAACATGTAGCCAATTTTTTGATAGTAATTCATGGACCTTATCTGTTTACCTTTTCGCCAGGTGCACCTCGATCTCCAGGGTCCCCCTGAAAAGCAATGAAATTGCAAAATTAAGAAGAAACTATCATTTGTTTTTGATCAGTTTAATTTGAACATTTAAAAATGTATTTGTTATTTCTGTATTTTTTTTCAATTATTCATAAATAATATTTTTTCAGTTAAACATTTGGAATGGGGTGTATACATAACACCCCATGCTTACAAAGCATGCTAGGCTTTGTAATAAGAAGGCCCAGCACTGCCTTTATGTTTTCCGGCAAACAGTGTTTATTCAGTAATATAGACGTCGTTGTCTCTGTTAGAGGGGAAGTGGGGATGAAAACAAGGGTAAAGGGGGACATTTCTCCCTTATGAGTCTTTTAGGTCTCTGGTAAGCACACCAGAGGCCATCTGAGGCTTTCTTAGAGTTCTCCCTGCTGTCTGCAAGGGGTAAGAATATAATACATAAATTAAGAAAATATAACTCATAGATTTCCCCTAAAGAGGGTTCTGCAGCTTTTTCCTTAGCATGGGCTGTTTTTGCATAGTTCAGGGTGCACAGCAATAGCAGCTCTCCTAGATAATATAGCTCCATAGCTCTCCAATGGCCTCTAAGCTTGCACAGTTCATGACTGTTTTTACTAATGTGACTGCGTCTTCAGTAAAGCAGCAGAACACAAGAGTACGTACCCTAAACCCAGAATTCTGATTATCAGTAGAAATGCAGGAACTTACCCGATTTCCTGGAGGTCCTCTGGGTCCTTCAACACCCTGGATGAAAATAAGCATAATTTTAATGAATTGACTCCGACCTTAGCTGTGCACAGAGAGGAACTGGCAAAGAGTAGAGAGGAACTGGTTAGCAATCCAATTATATGCCAGATACAATGATTACTTAGAAAGACCCATGGACGAATATGACAATTATTATGGTTTCCAGCCTGCCATATAGCAGAATGCTCCTCATATATCAAAGCTCAACTACAACCAAAATGTATTTTCTTGGTTTTGGTTAGAGCAGGGAAGGGTTGTAGCCCATGTAAGATTTGTATTCCTGTTTGAGTCCCAAGCAACAAACCCCATAGAGGTTCTATCCCTCTCCCACTTCATCCAAAATGAAAAAGGTTTTGGTTGGAGTTATGCTTTCAATGATGAGACCCATATCTTGGATTGCCTTCCCTTAATTGTTGGCTTACAGCACAAAAAACGGTTTCCAGAATGTTTAACAGCAACCTGTAAACGTTTTCATCCTAGTGGCATCATGAGGCATAATTGGTTGGTTTATAACGCCATAAAAAGAATAGCAAGGGCACATATTTACCCTCTCTCCAGCAAGACCATTCGCCCCAAGTTCACCCTTCTGTCCCTTCATCGCATGCTCTCCGGGGTCTCCAGCATCTCCCTAAATATATAAATATGGGTAAAAAATGAGTGTCTGGGAGTGATGTAAAAAATGTAGAGTTGTTAAATATTTATAAATTAAATAAAAAAATATTCTCCATTAGCTAATAAAAAAAGATTAGAAGGACTGTATCATTCTCTGAATCTATAGCCACTTACCTTATCCCCTTTCAATCCAGCAGTTAAACCTTCAATGGAAGCCTTGAAGAAGTAAAAATACATTGTTAAATAATGGCCATAATACAAGTGATAATAATAATAACAATAAAAATAATAAAAAGGAAAACCAACATGATACAAAATAACAGAAATTACACGACAACCATAATATAGGATACGACATGCAGAAAGAGAACGTGTAATGCTGAATATACACTTATTGTTAATAAAATATCTTACTGATTTCCCTGGTGGTCCTTGTGGTCCCTGGGGGCCCTAAAAAAAGAAGGATTAACATTAATGAAATTGTTTAATATAGGGCAAGTCACTGACAATGACTAGTTTGTGAATAATGTTTGAAGCTAACCATACAAAGTGAAGTCTTATCGTACAATCCTGTTTAGATTTACCAAGAACTACAGTATGTAGTACTAACGCCTGCCTGATGGATTCAATGGATTTGTTTAGGAAGACACGCGTACTACATACTTGTACTTGCAGAGCCGTTTAGCAATAGTAACTCCATCTTCTAACTTGTAAATGCCATCTTAAACTTTTGCACATGTACCCAGATAGCAAGAAATTGTGCTGCAAGTTTGAAAATGACTTGCTAAACTATTGCAGACTTGCCAAGCTTCACAATTTTGTTGCACAATTACATCAAGTCTGCATTGCACGTCTCCAGACCAGCGAGCTTGCAGAGCTCTTGCTAAGACCTGCAGGACTCTTGACTTGCCAAGCAAATTTGCTACAAATTCAAAAAGTGTCAACTAGAACTTGTGCTGCAAGTGTTCTGCAAGTCTACAACCTGCCAGGAATGTGTGCAGCAAGTTAACAAAATTACAATTTCACCCCGCCACAAGTTTGTAGCAAGTTATCCTTGCTATCTGGGTAGCTGAAGGACAAGGCTTTTCCTCAGCGTCTATAATTAGGGGTTATATTAAGTCTTTTTATACCATCAGTGGATGGGAGAAGTTCTAGTCCAATTTAGTTCCCCCACCATAAAGAGATGGAAGGAGTTATATGATTTAGATCCTTGACTGTTCCCCATGGAAGGAACTCTGTATATCATAATATTTTTATAAATATAGGTGTTTGCCTCATGGCCAATTTAAAGGGAGAATATCACACTCTATAAGACATGATCCCCTGTTCCCCTCTTCTTCTGAATGTCAGAAATCCCATTTACTCTAATTTACTGAAAATAAAGCCGTGCTGAAGCCCCATCTGGGCTTAAATTTCTCAAGAGTTTCCGGTCATCTTTGAGTGAATAACACTGATTTTAGATAAATTGGGGACCTGAGCTAGAGTTAAACTAGGGCCCCTTTGGTTGGAATACTGCAGGCCCTCTAACATCATCCAGTTTATAAGGCACAAAATGCTCTGCTCTACTGCATCATCCTACCTTATTTTCCCCAAAAAGTTAAAATGTATCACTGGGCAAAGGGTTTTACCTTTTGTCAAATTTGTATTGCTGTCAACCCACTGGGGAAAGTCACTCTATTTCTTCTGAGGACTACTGTCACCGAGAAAAAAAGTGTGGTGAAATCCAAAATTTATAGGGGCAGAACAGGAAGCTATAGAAAATCTTGTAATGGGGACCAATGTTCCAGAGTCCAAGAGGGGAACTGCCCTCATTTTCAAGATTTCCACTAACTTCCTGTTTCATCTCCAGCACAGGAGGTGAAGGGAAATTTCCCCTATTGTACCAAGACAGCAGAAAAATAACCTGGCAGGGGTTTTAACCCTTCCCTACTCTATGTCTGGCTATACATACACTTTAAGTGCATTATTTAAGCTACAGAATGGCTTCATGCTGAAGGATATCATACTGATATTGTAATGGTGCAGCTCTACATAAGCAGGAGAGATTGCAGGCAAGGGGAAAGCTACAGGAGGGCCCTAAGAATATGGGGCTCTGGGAAACTTCCCAATTTGCGCCCCCAAAACACTGACCCTGACATACAAAGTCTAATGAGCACGGCCAGGTTTAGGCAGACCATATCCATTGGATGTTGGTCAGACACACAGGCTCATTCCAACCAACTGAAGGTTTTCAGGTCACCTAATTATTCATACGGTAGAAAGAGGGGGAGTGACAGGCATCTCAGAACCTATGCCTGCCTTTTGCCTATGTTCTTTTAGCTGCCAGTGTCTGCAGGAGCTCACGGCAATATAAGACAACAGACAATTTTGCATTAGGGTAGACGAACAATGACTGTCAGGATTACCCTTTAGATGTATATTGTATGGACTGAGTTGCAGTCATATTCAGATCCCTTTATATAATGTTTTTAGGTCACAACTTGCTTCCTTGATTTAAATGACCCCCATAGGGCTATGTGGGATGAAATACATACCAGGTCACCACGTTCACCTTTACCACCGGGCTGTCCAGGGCTTCCCTAGAAAGAAGAAAAGCAATAAAGAGCGTATTTCTCATTGGAGTTACCTTAAAACCAGCACAATCCTTGGGGGTAATAACTGCCAAATGAACATTTATGGTTAAATGTAAACCAGCCCTGAAGATAATCGGTCACAATGAAAAGAGTCAGTGGGCATACAACAATGCACTACGTATGCTGGTGTTTAACTCTCTTGCTTTCAGTGCTTAGATCCAAAGTATATTTCCCAGCAGTGGTCTGTATGTATACCGTTTTTGTAGACAGGTAGGACAATTGGCTTTCACCAAAACTGGCCAAAGTATTTTTGCCCACCTGACTGAGGTAAGGCCATTAGAGTGTAAGCTTTTACTGTTCATTGCTCTCTCCTTGCTCTATATAAATCTGTTAAAATTTCTAAAAATATATATAATACCACAGTGTCTTTCAGTGTGTGAATGAAAGTGTACCTAAAGCCAAGATTCCCCCTTGTATTCTTCCTGGTGACCTGGACTGAAAGTAAGGGAAACCCCAAAATGTTGAGTCATCCCCAGAATAGGTGAAATCTTCCAAAGGGGAAACTTGTTGACAATTGTCCATGAGGGTATTTTCCTCAATTTAGAAAGAATTGATCTCATTTCCTGCCGTGTCTACAGGACAAGAAATTAAAGGAAATGTCCCCAAGGAGTCACTGATGGCCATAAAACATGAGAGAGATTTTAACCATTCCCTGCTCAACCCAAAATGGAAACAAAATGATTTTGGCTTTAGATATACTTTAATATTACAGCTTCTCTAGATATGGCTGTTGTGAACAGCCATGTGCCGTGGACAGACCCCCTGACATAAATCAGCCTCCTGATAAAGTAGTCATGTCCAACTGGTCTTCCCTGAGCTGCATGCGGCCTTCATGTTCCTTAACTGGAGCCCTTCTTTCAGTTAGAAGGAAACTGAGAATATACCTGTACATTTGCTGCCATTTCTTCCTTCCATTTGCATTACAACCCATAAATTTGCTCCGCAAGCTTCACAAAACCCTTCAAGCTCTCTCCCACTAATATTACCACCTATGAAATTCTACGTCTCTGCACATGGCAGAAAATCTGTTTTATGTTTGCTGTTAATGACCCCAGTCTCCCAGCGATTTTATATATACTTACATTCCTTCCATCTTCTCCCGGCTCCCCTTGGTCTCCCTTTTCTCCCACGACGCCCCTCATTCCTGGAAGACCCTGAGGAAAATAATGAAGGAAACACAAATTGGAAAATTTGATGAAAACACAAAACGAGGTTGCTACTACCAATCCAGAGTCAGGTGGGAGAGGTGGAAAAGCATCATATTATTTTATTGTCATACAGAATAAACAGATATCTGCACAAAATGGCCCCATAAAAGCAAACAATGCTCCAGATTTTGATAAATATTAGGGCTGTTTCTTAGGAACTACAGGAGAGGTTGTTAACTGGGGTTATCCATATCTTTTGGGTGTATGGGAGCCAACTAAAAAAAATTAAACAGAGTTTTCAGCATTATTAAACCAGAAATCAAAATGGAGAATGACTCGGGGTGATTTATGTATGTAGTGTATGGCCACTAAATGAAGCCAAGGAGCAGAGGAATTCCCTATGCTTCTCGGCTCCATCTAGTGGCCACAATGTTCTTGGAACCTCATTCCCATAGCTGTGCACTATGCGAACGGTTTATAACTCATCCCTTTAGTGCAGTGGTTCCCAACCTGTGTAACCTCAGGTCCCACATTTGTCCTTGGCCATTAATACGCGACCCAATTTGCACTGCAATGTGGCACAGCATTGCAGTACCGTGCGTTCCGGTGCAGGCGATAGAAATGTGGGTGGGAGGTGCGTTTGGGGTGCCATTCAAAAGATCCACCCAGTCTCCATACCTTATGAGAACTGGAGTGGATCCTCAGCCTGGGGTCCAGTGTGCGCTGCTGTGCTGTGACAGAGCTCCATCCATATGTGCATTGTGTGTACAGCTCCCTTTGTGTGCCCTGAAGAGGTGCAGGGATCCAGAATGTGACATCACTCTGGTCCAAGCATCTCTACAGGACAAGTGAGGAAGCTGTACGTAAGGATGGAGCTCCCACACGGCCATAGCCCCAGCATCCCACCTCAAGCTGACACGCGGCACCGGGCAGCATATTTTGAATGGCTGTTTTCAGCGCTGCAAAAGGGGGAGGCTGAGGAAGGCACACGGTGACCCACTGAAAATGGGATCGCGACCCACCAGTTGAGAACCAAGGCTTTAGTGTGTCAAATTAAATGTGGTTAACATTATCAGTAATTGAACTTTGATTTCAGGTTTTTATGGCTCAAAAACGACAGCAGAAATCTCACTAGGCATAGCTAGGCTTGTGTATTTGTGACTTGCCTTATTTACAGCAATCTATATGATAAAATCGTTATGATTTTCTTTTGCCTGTTCTTCATCTTTTGAAGTCGTAATGGCATCTAAGGTACTGGTTATGATGATGATGATGATTTTGACAGTCTGGGGAAGGGGGGCTATGGGGACATATTGGCCAATCTATTGGGAATATATAATCATAATACAGAACTCATGCTCAAGAGACAGAAAACAAGCATCTCCGGCAGATGGATCTCGGCACTTGTTACGGAACAGGGAGATTTTCCATGGTATCTCCTGCCGCTGGGACAAGTAACATGAAGCTGACAGATACATCCTGTTCTCCTCATGACGAATAATCAGGTTTCAGCATCTATTAGATCAGTTTAGTAAAAGCTGCTCTGTAATTGGTTGTAGAGGATAAGGGCACTTCCTGAACTGTTGTTATATAAAGCCCTGCAATTGTTCTTACCCTCAGACCCCTCTCTCCAGGACTTCCTGGGGTTCCAGGTTCGCCCTACAAAAAGAATCAAGCAAAGAAAAGATAGTGTCACCTCTTTCCTGAAAATATGGAAACACAAAAGCTAATTTTAGAGCGTCCATAACATTATAGAAATACCCGTATAATACAACAGACATACCCTTTCCCTTCTCATTATCTCATCACTACTCCCCCCCTTCTCCTTATTTATTACTTTGAGTTAATGAATATTTGCTACACTTCTAGGCAAGCGTAGAAAGAATCCCGACCATACAAGCTTCCAGTTTACATGGGTGTAGGTGGAAATCAGAGGTTAGGGGGAGGTAGCTTTATATATAAAGTGTAATTATACAGTGTAGCTTGTCAGGCAGTGGAGGAGGAAGCGGTGCTAGATGGGTGAATGGAGAGGATACCTTGCATCAGATGCAAGGTGCTTTTTAAGATATTAAGGATTGGTGAGCACAAAATGGCATGTGAAAAAGAATTACAGAGATGGCAGAAAGCTTATGAGAAGTCCTGAATTTGGGAGTGTGAAGGGGATCAAAGGAGAAGGTAATGATTTTGCACTTGTATAAGTGTCTATAAATTAGCAAGGAAATGTATGGAGGGTGCAGACTGGAGTGCTTCCACATCTCCTGTGAATGGGCCAAAATCAAAGCAGCAGGGGGCCCTGCTGACACCATCCAGCTTGACAAACTTCAATTGAAAATCCAATGGAGCCGGCATGAAAAAAGTGAGCCAAACAGTGACTGCAGCCAATAACTGTTCGGGTCTGGATACAATAGCCGGCAGAAGAGATCCATCTGTTTAATGTGGATGGGGCATTCAAACAATTTGCCTCATTCGTTCCACTGGTCTACACCAGATAAATCTTTTAAGTATAGGACCAGCTTTAGAAGTGTCAACTGAATTCTGCATGTGATTGCCAAAATTAGAGACAGAGAGAAGCAGCATTTTAAAAGCAAGAAGAGAGGTCTTACCAGGGTTCCGTCATTTCCTTTCTCTCCTCTTTCTCCTTCCTTACCACGAGGTCCGATGGGTCCCTGTGAACCAGTTTTTCCAGGTTCTCCATTCTGTCCTGGGTCTCCAGAGTCTCCCTAGGTAAACAAGCACAGTATAAGATTGTTCTGAAGGGGGGTTAAACAGCAGCACCAGCAAATAACACAACGCTGTACACATAGTGGACTTTTTGATAAATCTTCCACTCAGCCATACGCTCGGCGAGTGCCATTCGCACAGCATTCCTACCATTAGATGGAACCAAGGAGCATAGGGGATGTATGCTCTTTGGCTCCATCTAGTGGCAGGAATACTGTGCGAACTGCATTTGCCCAGCGTATGGCTGGATGAAAGATCTTTACCAGCAAAAGTAAAAAACAATCTTTGAAGATAAAGCTAACAAAAATGTACAAGTATGTGAAAAAGTGACTGTGGTAAAATGTGGCATTTATGTGTCTGATTACTGAATCAGTAACTAAAGGCCATATACAGTATACAGGACATAGATTAACACATACATAACTCAACCTTTGAGTTGAAATGCAGAAACTCTGAGTTTTGGGTTTAAGGTTTTTTAGTTCCTTTTGTGTCTATGTGGTCACAGGAACAGGAAGTGAGGGGAGAGCCCCCCAATTGAAATACAAAAAAATAAGACGTAAGACAAAAAGACACAAAATCTTTCCCAGCCTATCAAAAAACTATAAAATATATATATTTTGAGTTTTGGAGTGCATTAGGAACATATTGAAAAAATAATTGTGCACCTAGTACATGCGTGGTACAAAGACAGTATCATTGATCTTTAGTGATTGGGTGGTTAGTGGGGTCATTAGTTCAAGGGGCATAGCAGATGGGTCATTGTTCCAATGGGTGAGGCCAGCAGTAGTCATAATGAGGAAGAAGGAGAGAATTTAGGTCCAGATTAGTCCTGGAGAACGGGTAGGTAAATGAAATAATGAATGTTCTTAACTCAAGTGGACATACCTTTGCACCGGTCTTTCCAGCAAGACCAATAAGACCCTAAAGAAAACCAGAAAGAGTATATTAAATAAATATGTTTCCATTATTCCATGCTAAGCTTTCTTTAGCGAGTAGTATGGTTTCCTGGTAAAATGTCTACTCTTAGACAAAGTATACTAATTTATAACAAAGTATACTCATTTAGTAATAAGATGGAGGCCAACAAGCATCAAGACTTACCCTCTCTCCTGGTTCACCCTTCGCTCCTGCCTGCCCAGGACTCCCAAAACCTTGAGCACCCTAATCATAAAAAACAGAACAGCACCATTTACTTATCATGTTTATGAGGTATGTTTAATAAAAGGAATTTAAGTAATGTTGCATATAGAGCTTGCTTTAGATAAAATGTTCGCAGGTGAACTTCTGGACTTCTGATTTGAACCAAAAATTAATTAAATTTAAAAAAATCTGATGACCAAACCGGCAGGAGTAGACTGACGGGGAGGTTAGATTTTAAAGGCACAGTCTGCCTTTTGAAAAATAAATAAATGATAAATGCACACATTAATAAAAGAAAGAAAGGGGTTTTTTTCATGCATTTGAGTCTGCAAAGGATTGTAATCACGATCAGTGGATGGTGGTTGCAATGCCCAGGCTCCTGCCGACTGTTCATCCAGTCTCAGGTGCGATCCAAGGTATAGGCCTTCAGGTATGAGACTGGAGGAAGTAATTAATGGATTACAAGTGCGGTGAAGTCACCACACTGGTGTTCCATTAAAATTTGGGAGTCACTTTGCCGCGGTGGCCGTATGTGACCATATTTCATGCTACATGGGTTCCTCTCATTGTTTTAATGACCTTTATAAATTGTTGCAGAATAGGACATCACTATATAAATAAACACAGACTAAAATAACAGATGTATTCTGTATTGTGGCAGCACAATGGCGTAGACATTTCTACTGTCAAAAAATGTGTTTTGTTTTGATTCGGATTTTGCGTTATTTCGTTTTTCGGGATTTGGGTCCGAAAGTAAATTTGTTTCGGAATTCAAACGAAATTCGTTAGCGGTAATCTGTACGAACTTTCGTTTCGTTTTCGTATCGTTCATTCGTTGCAGCAAAGTGACATTTGAGGGAAATATTTTTTTCTTCTAAAATGTCACTTTGATGCAACAAAAATTCGTCCAACAAATGAAATTTCGCACAGACTACCGCTAATGAATTTTGGAAATTCGGATTCGTTTGCATTCGTTACGTCTGTAATTCGGAATTCGGATACATCCGAATCTCCGAATTTTGGCGTAGCGATTCTGCTTTGCAGCCCTGGGGGTCCCTGGATTCAATTCCAGCCTGTGCTTGCATGGGTTGACTCCAAAGACAGGCTGGTAGGTTAAATGGCTTTTGCATAAATTGGCCCTGTTTGTGAGATAGGGACCTTAGATTGTAAGCTCCTTGAGGGCAGGGACTAATGTGAATGTGCAACTATATAAAGGGCTGCAAAAATTGTCAGCGCTATATAAATACCTATTATAAAAAATGAATATTCTTGTAATATTATAATACTCCCCGTCACTATTTTGAATGGAGATTATAGAAATATGTTATTAAGATTAATACTTACCCTCTCTCCTTTCTCTCCTGGCTCTCCTCTGGCACCCTTTGGCCCCTCCAGCCCTTGAAAGCCGCGATCACCCTGTTGGTAAAGATCAGTAAACAAGAAAATTGTCAATATTATTGGCTAAGTGCAGTTCCACTCTGCTCCCTAACACTACTTTAGCTAGTCACCTGATACTAAGCCCTGTCCAGGATCCAACCTATCCAAGAGCCAATAAGCTCCCCAAATCACTGAACTTTTTATTTAATCACAGATATCCCAATAATTTAATAGAGAAAGCCTCATGCAGACATGTGTACTCATGACTAGAGATGAAAGAATTTCTAAAAATTAATTTTTGGGGAAAAAAAAAGAAAATTCAGTTGGTTTTGGCTCAAGTGAAATTTTTAAAAATGTGTGAACCTTTCAAATTCTGAATTTTCAATCTGGAAGCCCTATTTTAGTAAACAAGAATTAAAAACCAGTGTATATTACAGAGCAGCAACCGATGCACAATTTTGCTGAATGACTTGGGAAGTAACCTTGCCAGATGAGATGTTGGGGGGGCCAAAAAACAGCTTGAGCCCCTTCTACTTCTTCAAGGCATACGAAGATAGAAGGGTGGGACCTGGTGGAACTCGAAGTCAAGCTAAGGGGACAAAGACAACAGCAAAAGCACCAAAAAGGTAGAAAACGCCTTTGAAGCAGCATAGCAACATCTTGTCCCTTTTCCCCTGGATCCCTTTGGGAATAAAAACTGCCAAAAATAACATTGAAATTCCAATTTTGGATTGGGACATTAAAATTTATGAAATTTCATTTACATTTTAGGATCAACTCTACTCAAGACCTTGTGCAGGAGAATCTATATTATTAATATATATATATATATCAATGATTACATAACTTTTTTAATGTCAGGGTTACTGGAACACAAGACTAGTTGAACACAACCACAAACCAGTTGGCAACTAAAGCAATACATACAGTACTGTATTGCAACTATGTATTAACCTATATGCATGCACTTCAGGATTCCGGTATGTGTTCGCTCACCTCCCGATCTACTGAGCCGACCTGTGACAGTCTCATTGTCACAGGTCGGCTAGAACTATGAGGTGAGTGGAAATCACTCATCTCATAGTTCTCCTTTAAGGTTAGCCTTAGTTTTTTTTCATTTATTTTTTAAAAATGTTCTTCCCTTGCCTAAGATCTTCTTTTTCTTCGATACAGAAGAAAAAAGTTAAATTTAGATGGTGTGAACATAAAACCCAAGAGCTATATAATCTCACCTTATCTCCTTTCATCCCGGGTGCTATGGAAACCTGCAAAATGTACAAGAAACATTGATAGCAGACTTATGTAAGGGTTACAATGTGGAACGGTCAAATAATCATGTATACTTACCACTTTGCCAGGCTCTCCAGGAGCTCCTTGGTTACCCTAAAATTGTATGCAGAGGAAGACACACATAGTCAGATGTGTTTTAGCATGTCATTGAGCATCTTAGTCTCCACCAGATCCAAAGCTCACACAAAGAATTATATCCTTAATAAAGTAACTGTAAAAATAGGATGTTGCAATGGAAACCGAGTGGCCTGTTCTCCATCACATTTCTCATCCTTCGGTACCTGTTCACCAAGGTAGGCCTTGGTAGCCTGCAGGGCACACTAAAGTTACCATTGGGCAGATAGGGATATGCTGCCATGGTGACCCGTGGTGAAACCCCCGGGGACCTCTTACAAAACCCTAAAGTTTTGTCGGATCCTGGTTGAGAATAAACCCTGGGGACCTCTTGCATAACCCTAAAGTTTTGTAAGACCCTGGTTGAATAACCCCTGGGGACTTCTTGCATAACCCTAGAGTTTTGTGGGACCCTGGTTGAATAAACCCTGGGGACCTCTTGCATAACCCTAAAGTTTTGTGGGACTCTGGTTGAATAACCCCTGGGGACTTCTTGCATAACCCTAGAGTTTTGTGGGATCCTGGTTGAGAATAAACCCTGGGGACCTCTTGCATAACCCTAGAGTTTTGTGGGACCCTGGTTGAATAAACCCTGGGGACCTCTTGCATAACCCTAAAGTTTTGTGGGACCCTGGTTGAATAACCCCTGGGGACCTCTTCCGAAACCCTAGAGCTTCGTGCAACCCTGGTTGAAAAACCTTTTTAGTAGAGTATAAACTCTTCTGGTGTGGGAACTAGGAGAGGCTGCCATGCCGTGTACGACCCTACATCAAGAATGTATGACTACTGAAAACAATAAGAGCCTCCAAGGTTCCTCTGTGCTGACTCAACAAAAGGAAAAGCTGAATACAATTAAGATCTAAGGGTTAGGTCCAATGTGTCTTAATATTAAGGGCTTCAAAAGGTAGAACTTACCTTTTCACCTTGGATACCTTGTGACCCTATAGGTCCCTGTGAAGGAAAGAGCACAAAAAGTTACTTTTAAGTTCTGAGTCCAATCCACTCTCTTTTCATTGAGGCCATAAGGGTGGGAAGGACAGGGTGGTCCGTGCACTACCCAGATGGTAACTCTATAGTAAATGATACAATCAAATTGTAATATGGGGATCAGCTTTAACCCTTAAGATAACCCTAAACCTAATGCCTAATTCCAACCTCTAACCTATCCCTCAGCCATTAAATGTCAACACCGACCCTAAATCTAATACTTGCAGGGCTATTCACTAAAGCATGAAGAGTTTGGAGAAGGGAGGAGAAGTGAACAATTTAGGACAACATAGCTGAACTGGAAGGTGAGCTGAATTGGAGAATTTTTCCAAATCAGCTATGTTGCCCTAGATTGTTCACTTCTCCTGCCTTCTCCAAACTCTTCACCCTTCTGTGAATAACCCTATTAAAGTGTATGCCTGGGCAAAACCAAAATCCCTCTAACACAGGCACATTTTCCCATGTTTCAAAAATTACCAGTTTGTCTGCCAGAAATCCAGTAAGCTCCTAACTTCCTGTAGTCAACACCACCTCTTCTACTCTAAAATCAAAAGTGGTGCTGTCCGCATTGCCTGAGTTCTCCCCTGCTAGACTGCAGAATACCTGTCCCTTATGGCATAGGCATAAGGCGAAGGAGAGGTGCCCTGTAGTAACGCACTGGTCTCAAGACCCAACTGAGACCCAGACAGCCCACCTGAGAGTGACCTTGCAAAGCCCACTACAGATGCTGCACAGCCTATCTGAGACTCTCAGGTGGGCTGGTTGGTGCTGCATCTCCCTCCCAGCTCCTCTTACCTGCTCCCAGCTCCTCTTACCTGCTCCTGCTGCTGGGGCCTGGCCTCCTCTGCCGCCGGACCGGTCGGAAGTGATGCGATGTCACTTCCGGCCGGTCCGAGATCAGAACACAGCAGGCGCTGCTGGGGCCCCAGCCTCCTCCGAAGCTGCCGGCTCCTCTTACCCTCCCAGCTCCTATTACCTGCTCCCAGCTCCTCTTACCTGCTCCCGCTGCTGGGGCCTGGCCTCCTCTGCCGCCGGACCGGTCGGAATTGATGCGATGTCACTTCCAGCCGGTCCGAGATCAGAACAGCCTCCGCCTCCACCGCCTCCCCTGTCACCTGTATGGCCATCAGCCGATACCCATGTAAGGGTCCTGGGCCCCCCAAGCTGCCCGGGCCCCTCACATGAGTATCGACTGTACCCCCCTGATGACAGCACTGGGTATGGCAAAGATGTACTTTAGACTAAGGACTGATGTGGCCTATAAAATTCACTTAGTTTATAGCATGCCAGGAATATGTCCCTGCTATACTAATTATTAAATGGTACTGGTCTAAGTAGTATGATTACTTGAAAAATATATGTATGCTAAATCTAAGATGGCAGCCCCATCACGAGGATAGGATACTCTAGGTTAAAAACCCATCCTACCCAAAATATACAATTTGTTACAGAAACCAAAAGAAGTCTGGACTAAGTAGTATGATTTCTTGAAAAAAGTATTTTTGTTTAAAAAAAATATTAGCAGCAAGAGACTTACCGCAGGTCCTACTGCTCCTGGTAGACCATTTTGCCCCAGAGATCCCTAAATTGTAACAAAATATAGGAAATTAAATTCACAATGTTACCTTATTCACATCCACAGTTAGGAACAACTTATTGAGACCCCAATTTAAAGTGTGCCCTAATCCACCCTCTGTCTATAAATATGTCCTAAAGGCAACAATTATATTTCTCTGTTCTCCCAGCAAACGTTGAGAAAGCTATGAAAGATTTTTTTTTGTTAATTTTGATAAAATAATTACTGTATGAATTCTGTAACTTGACAAAAACCTACAAAAATATTTTTTATAACTCCTGCATGGTAATACCAGATGTATTATTCTTGGACCATATGAATAAATGAATAAACAGTAGATAATTAACACTTTAAATAACTGATATAAGACAATAAAAAACAGCTAAAATGGATACAAAATCTATACAAATACACAATAATTATAACACACAAGTAACCTAAGCTAGAAAGCTGTAAGGCAGCATTCACTATGTGAAGATTCACTATGGTATAGTGAACATCAAGAAACGTTCATTGTGCCTAAACAGTGCCCTGAAATATCTAATATTCTTAATGGTCCACATAACTCAGGGATGGCTAGGCATAATTTGGCAGGGATGTGTTCTTTGCCTAAATACATTGTGCTGGAAGGTGTCTCTTTTTTGTCTTAAATTCCTTCTACAAAATAGCAGTGCACTTCCTGTGCCTTTACCCTCCTGTACCTTCAGCTTTGTAGCTGTATATCTGCCGTGTGAGATCATCAAAGGCACTTCTGCCTCTGCTGGTCTCACCAGATTTGGAGTGACATTTGGTGATGTCACTACTGTGCTGTTCACTGTTCTCCTTCCTTGAGAGGAAGCTGAAGCTGAGGTCCTGCAGTGCAAGGATCTCCCTGCTCCTGCTTCACTCATTCTGTGGATCTGTACTTTTTGAACCTCTCCTGCTACTTCTTGACAATACCCCAACAGATCACCAGTCATCAGGGGGATAACTCTGACATGTGGAAGTAAAGCTTTGCTCCTCTCTCAAAATGGCCACCCTCTACAAGACACAGTGTAGAACAACGCAGGAATGGGGGAAACAATCATCTGCAGGAAGACCACTGGTGACTAGTCCATTGTCCTCTGCTTGCTGTACAGTTTCCACAGTTCAGGTCCTCTTTAAACAGAAGGGTTTAATTAGGGGACCGATTGGAAAAAAACATTTTTCAGTTGCATATTACCTTAGTTTTAGACTAATTAATCCAAGTTATCATTAGCAAACTTGTAAACTTCCTTCATACACTTTCAACCATTACCCATCCATACCCTGCATGTTGTATATACTGTAAAAAGAAAAAAAATCCTGCGTGATAAGCGAATATCATGAATACGTTTTACTGACCTTAAGACCTTGGAAACCTTGAGGACCACGATCACCCTGTAAAAGTGAAAAGACAATAAACGTTCTACTTAGGTATATCACCCTGTGAACTTGCGCAATATGGTGGCATGGGTGCCAACTAAAGTGTAATTGCGTTCAATGTTTTTTTATGTTGTGTTTTAGATGAAGTAAGGAAAGGTTGGGGTATCTGTCATTTCTTTATTGTTTACTATCTCTCTCTGTCATCTCTTTGAGTCACGTGTGTGTGTGTGTGGGAGGGGGGAGCGCTGTCAGGCAGAGCGGCATGGTTGCACTGCTGACCCAATGTTTGCAGTGTGCCTGCCACCCCCTTTCCAGCCAGAGCGTCCCGGGATGCTAAGAAACGGGCAGGGAGTTGTGTAAGGGCCATACACATCTCCCCACCCAGTTCTTAGCATCCAGGGATGCTCTGGCCGGGCAGGGAGGGCTGCATCACCACCGAACCACCAACCTCCTGTCCATCCGTCCCATGGCGGCACAAATGCTAGGGACATCTCTGAGTGCCATACTCTCCATTCAATCTTCTTGGGAGTTCCAGAGTAGACGCTCTGAAACATCTCTCCATAAGACTGAATTACAGAGTGTGGCCCAGCAGAGAATATTCTGCCAATTGGCTATGCAACTCCAACTAGCCTGCTGACGTGAAGCAATGTTTTTTTAATTCATGATAAAAAGCTTTTTTTTTTGTTACTCAAAAAACAGCATAAACCTTACTGAAAGTGAGAACTTTAAGGGCAAATCTGCTTTCAATTAATTCCGATTAAACTGTTCTAGGTAGAACAGATATACTGTACAGTGTGTAGCTGAACTAGGGTTGAGTTTACATGACTAAAAACCCTTCTGGCACATGTCAGGACTGCATGGTTACTTGTCCTGGATTAATTGTCTAGCATATTTATCTAAGTGGTTCTTCTAGTCACCTTATTGCCGGGTTCTCCATCCAGGCCAGCCAGTCCTCGGTCACCCTTTCAAGAAACAAAGGAGTAAAATATCAGTTTAAAGTCACACCGAACTGTGCATAAGATTTAAAGTGGTGCTTCTATATTGGCTTCTGAAGCCTCCCTCTAGATAGTGGAGTGGCAGAGGTGAAGCAAAGAAGAGGTCCTGCTGAGTTATAATCTATTATAGTTGATATACTATATATTTATATACTGTATAGGCAGCAGAGTGTTGTAGCATGTAAGACATCGACAAAGCAGAAGTTTGGATTTTGGGTGATATTGCCTACAGAAGTGGCCAGTGTACCTTGAAAGCAGGCACTACATATCTATATAGTTGGCCAATAACTAGTATCACCCTAAATACAATCTACTGCTATATACTGTATATATATATATATATATAT